ATCTGACTTGGCACAGATGTAAATAGTTGTCAAGTTTATATCTGCGAGTTTTGTTGTAACCTAAGCCCTTTTTCTTCGCTGTCGGAATTCCAAACCATAGTGGTCCCCAGTTTTATCCCTTCGAAATTGACCGCTTTTGCACATTTACTGGAAATTACTGAAGTTTACGAATGCTCTAAAATAATTGAGACTACAATGTATTAGCCATTTGTTCTTTATATACCTTAGCAAACCCTTCAAAGAAGTTCATACACATGTCAAAGGGTAGAGTGTCCAGGGACCATTTAGTTATTCCGAACATTAGCTAGGCTAGTAAACAAGACAAATTTCTATACACTACCAGTAGAGGCTTTGTGAAAAGGACATAGAGGACAAACTTTTCTGTCATTTAGTGGCAAGCGAGTGACATTTTGACCTTTAAGTCGTAAAAGCTTTGAACTATTACATCGATTATTTTACCGAGAAAATTTGTTAACGAGATTGTTGGAGGACTTTTATCTATCTAATAATAGTGCATTACGAAAGCTGAGATATTTTTAGTACATAAAGTCTTAATGAAATATTACAGGTAAATGTTTAATGTCATTGTTTGTCTTTCTTTTCTTTCTGCAGCCAAAATGAAAAAAAATTTTGAATTTGAGATGATAATGAAGAAGGATAGGATAACACTTCCGTTGGGTGGAGACATTTCACCGAGCCTGGCTTGAATTGCCGCTGACGTCTTTGCGCCTAGTTCTCTAATTTTTCTAGAATTTGAAATTCTACTTATTTGAGCAAAATTGTAACATGAGAATTTCTCCAACTGTATCCCATGCTCCTGGGCTATTTTTATGATCTCAATTAATATTTTGATGTGCACAATTGCTCCAAACAAATGCACATGCTGAAATTCTTGCAAAAAATTGCAAAAGCTCAGCAAAAAAGATCAAAGTCCAAAAGTTTTCAAGAGCATCTTTCCTTTTATCAAAATGCCTACGCCGCGTGCTCCCGCATACTTCACTACACGTTTTGAATGAATACTACAAATCACAACTACAATGAAATGTATGGAAAGAGCCGACAAGAGAACTGAGCATTAGGCTTCGATACAAGGTGATAATTTTCTCTTGAGTTGTTGTTGAAAACATAAATTATGTGCAATGCATACCAACAAACACTCCATGACAAGTTTTATTTACAATTTTGAGCTCATACCTACATCATGCTTTGTTTAAACTGCTCCCTTTTTTCAAGCGTATGCTTTCGTTTCTATTTCATTTATGTTGGTAGAATTTTGCAGTACAATCGTCACCTCTGTATATTCATTGAATCTTTTGATAGTATCACGGTATTTTTGCCATATCCCTGCTTCCCTAACTCTCTTATCATCGATTTTTCTCGGAAAATTTTCCAAGAAAAGGGGATCTGCGTAGTCTGCCCAAGTTATTCTGTAAGTGCAAGAATGCCCCACCACAAGCAATTTGGTAGCAAGGAAATTATTAACGATCTGAAGCGAAATTTCTTGCAAAAAATTTTACCATAAAAATTGCTGTCAAAATTGCCATTGTCGCTAACATACCTCTGCAAATTTGGTTTGGTAAACTATGTCTTAAGAAAAGTTTTGATAGAAATTGTTAGAATGTCGTTGTTTCTAGCGTACAAGCTACTAGATTCTTTTTTCTCTGGACTTTAGGTTTTCCACATTTTTTCTGCAATTTTAGGTTTTCCACATTTTTTCTGCAATTTTCTAGCTATGCATGTAATTTTTCCGTTCTGTGTTAGCGAAAAATTTTGAAAGCCTAATGCGTCGACAGCTTGGTTATCTTACTTACCTAAGTAAATATCACATGCACCGAAAAGCTGCAAAAAAACCGAGTTTGGTGACGACCATTTTTTAAAAAAAGTAAGTGGTAACGTAGGTGGCAACCAGGCACCTAAACTTAATTGGACGGACCAAATTTAGCCGAAGCACTCGTTTCTGCGTCGAGTATGTGCTCGGCGTTGTCGGCCGGCTCGTTACCGCGTATTTTCTTCATGGTTCCGCTCATTTCTGAACACGACGAATGCTCGAGAGCAGTTTGAGAAGTGTTAACAATATGAACGAAAGCGGAGCGGGGGGGGGGAGGGAGAGAAAGGGGGATTTTGCGCCACATGCGCTGGCTACTTTGACGCCTCTCCTTCGATAATCGCAAGCCAGGGGATTCCGCCAAGGCGCTGGCAACGACGAGTACGTGGAAATTAGGCGATGGCATTGGCTTCGTCTTTGAGTTATAACCATGCATGTCCAGCTTTGATTCCATAGTCGAGCAGTAAAATAAATTAAATTGAAATCAATGTAAATTGACGAAGTTCTGGGCCTCATGGGCCTTTATCTTCGGTTTTATGATTTTTGTTGTAACGCAATTAACTCTTTAGATCTTGCTGTACAGCTTGCTCTGGATTGTTACTTGGGTCACTACAGCCTTCAAACTTCTCTTTCTTACATCTAAAATTCACAAATTCTCGGCTAAACAATGTCCATACTCATCAAAGTCTTAAAAAGTAAATTCTTGCAACATTATTTCGTTCAAAAGGCGGAGACCTTAAGCTATGCCCTTTCCAAGCTGGTGAAGTTCTGAAAATTTCAATATTGGCTGTGACTTTTAGGCTAGTACAAGTACGTCGTTTTACAGAGCACCTTGAAACCATGTAAGTGCTTATCCTCAACAGAATTTTTTTCAAGACAATATTAATTTAAGTTTGGCAGAAAAGCAAGCCGCGCGTCTCCTACGATGCTCTCATAAAAATAAAATTGCCGGAATCTTTTCAAACTAAGGAAATTGATATGCACTTTTCCCACCACACTTGAGCAGCTGCAGTAAAGAAAATGCCGATCTGCATTGCCATATAATTGCCTTAAGACTGAAAATATTCATTTCTAAGAGTCTTTTAGCCTATCTAGATTAACATCATACTCCACATTGAATTTCTCTCTTTCTCAGAGAATTTAACCCTCGTTTTCTATACAAATCAGTAGAAATTGTAGGGCTTTTGATTTTGCCTACATAACAACTACTACAAAATGTGAGAGAAAAATCCGTAGCTGTATTGATTTGTGTATATTCTCGAAAGCTACGAGACCCTCTGAAGAGTCCTCCTCGCTTAGAGTTAGTTGTAGTCATAAGGGCTCTCGCCTAAGAGAGTCATCAACAATAACAAGAGTGTTTAGCAGAGAAAAAAAAGCATCTGATTGAGAGTCGTAGAAGTGGCGGGGGGGGGGGGGGAGCTACAAAGAATGATGGGGGGGGGTTGTAGTAGAGATGTTACTAGTTTGTGTAGATTTTCAGGCCAAAATTCTTGCTAATCGTTCAAATGTAAATGTTCATAAACTTATTCGCTTCTTTTTTTGCTCACCATTGCATTGTCCATTTTTTTAAAATTGTCGAACAATCGCCGATTACGAACCAGTCAATGCACCAAATAATTATGCTTCAAATTACATTATTAATATCGATAATTTCCACTTTTTCTCATCCTATGGATCGTGCAGAATGATAAATTGCCAAAATCCCTCTATCATCTCCGACCACAACAACATTTGCTATACTCTCGGCTAAGCCCCATATCATTTGCTTCGAACAAGTTCTTTTTCTGAAAATTCAATCTTTGTAACTTTGTCATCACAATTTTCTCAGCAACTGTCATTTGAACTCTCTGTCTCTCGAGGCCTAATGTCTCGCTCATTTGCTTCAAAATATGATTCGCCTACACTCATAAAGCCTCGCCTAAGACTTAGGCGCACGTTTAGCCTCAGTGTGTTTGTCTGTTTTTCACATGCACAGCGCCTTTCTACTTGTGCTATTCTCATCAATTTTTATGCATATAATTATAGTTCGCTTGTTATGAATTTCTAGCTGTTCTGAAACGATTTTGAAAATCCCAAAATCAGAATCTGCAGAGGCTTAATCCTATAACTTTTGTGAGAGAAGTGATTTTTGCACGATAAGGAAGCGAGGGTTTAGAAGACTGCAGAAAATCCTGATTTTACAAAAAGAAGGAAATTTATATGTATTACTTTTTCACTGTTTCATTCCTTCCCTTAGACGAAGTATCACTAGATTTATAAATCTTCCCCGGAACTGCTCGGTTAGGATGGAAGACTTAGTATCACGTAAAAAGTTGAAATTTTAGTAAATTTTGTATCACAGTTAACTACAGTACATCGTTGAATAAGAATGTAACACGAAACCTCAATTTGAATATTATACTACATAGCTTTACCCATTTGCTTCACCTTTAATATTAGGAAATGCTTTGCATGTATTTTCTTCCTTCATACCCGTCATAAAGTCGGCCAATGCACCCAAACTAAGTTTTTACCTCCCTTAATAGCTTTTAAGAACATCAATGTCGTAACGGAGCCGAGCATAGAGCTTATAGTTCTAAAAATTGCTTATGAATGAGGAAATTCCTGGGTAAAAGTCCTATCACACTTTAGAAAAAAAGGTTCACCTCGGCTAAACTCATTTATATCTTTGCTATTGGCAACTTTTGCCGGCCACTGAATTGAATTTTAACGTGCGTGTGTGTGTGTGCTTGTGTTTTGACGTTTTGCCCCCGGATTCACACATCTTTTTGTCTCCATACAATCTCGACCTCAATGCACTAAAACTAGATTTTTACCTTATGTCAGAGCTCCAAAGGCTCTTTCCGTAGCTCTCATGTAGGCGGTTCCTCAAAACCGACGGCAACGATACTCATACAAGCAGCTCTCATTAGAATCCACCAGATCATGTTTCAACCATCGAAAATGCCATTACGAGCTCGATGATGCTCAGCCCGTGCCTATATGCACAAATATCTACATATCCCCCGCATAGCGTCTGAATACTGAAACTTCATCCACTACTTGGATGTGCCTGTATAATCAAAGGACGGCTCGAGTTCCGGGGAAAAATCTCTAAAAAAGCAACAATCAAGACCGGGCAAATATGCTCTTTCGTGACGTGTGGCTATTTCAGACACTAATTTTTTGTTGTCTCATGTTCTCAATCCTGGCTCTGGCAACTCATATTCTGGCTAATGTTACAGAGGCAGCCAAGGTATGGAAAATAATCACATTTATGCTTTTTTTAAAACTTTTTATTTTTCCTCTTTTACAGATGGTTGATGGTAGCGACCTTGCTCCATCGCACAAGGCTAGTTTATTCTTTCCTTGAATCTAACTCATAAGTCCAGAAATAAACTTGTCGTGTTGTTTTTTTTACCAGTAACATACACATCTATCCCAATATTTATACATATCTACACAAAAATGAACTTAACAGGTGTCCCATAGGTGAAATTTGATAGGCTAACTTACTGGAATTTACAAAAATCAAATCAACTCGGTTCAGGTGCGACAAATTCGAATAGCTGGAGATCTAATGCTCGGAGGAGTTTTTCCAGTACATACGAAATCGCAGAATCCAGATGAGCCCTGTGGGGAGATTGCCGAAACAAGGTTTTTGCCCGATTCTAAATCTCTTCAATTCTATTCCTCTATTCAGCCTCTCTCAGCCAATCGTCTATTTTCAGAGGAGTACATCGAGTAGAGGCTATGCTATACGCGTTAGACCAAATAAATGCTCAAAAAGATTTTTTACGCGGGTATAAATTGGTATGGGAAGCATTTCCAAACATTCTCATTTTTCAAGCTAAGAGAAAGAATATTTTAGGGGGCTTTGATACTGGATTCATGTTCAAATCCTGCATATGCTCTCAATCAAAGTTTAGAATTTGTACGGGATATGATCGGCTCATCAGAGGCATCAGATTATGTTTGTAGGTAAGGCTAATTCAGCATTAGAAATTATTATCTTTCATTAAATCTTTCATAATATAGCGATGGGAGCGATCCTTTTACGAGAAGTGCTAGCAAGAAAAAGAATGTTGTCGCTGTTGTTGGTGCAAGCTACAGTTCGGTTACGGTACAGGTACGGTATCAGAATCAATCCTAGAACTACAGCTGACTATATTTTCTTTAGATCGCAAACTTACTGCGGCTGTTTCGAATAGTGCAAGTAAGCCCAGCTAGTACAAATGCGGACCTCTCAGATAAAAGTCGATTTGAATATTTTGCAAGGTACTCGTCTAAGTTCTCAGGGCTATTGAGTGCGAATGAATGGAAGAAAGAATGGCAGTTGAATGAGAAGAAAAGTATAAGTTGAAAGTACGGACTAGAGTAAGAGTTCGTGAATAAGTGTGAACGAATTTTTATGCATTATAAGCCCATAATCAAGCAAATTTCAATGCTTAAATCTGAGGGTCATGTAAGCCTATGAATATGGTAGAAGAGCGAAGAAATGAATGAGGATGGATGAATGAGTGAATGAATAAAGTGAACTTGAATGAATGAGTGGACTCTACCAAATTTTGTCCTGAGTGGAAATTTACTTCAGAACAGTTCCATCAGACGATTACCAAGCTATGGCAATGGTGGAAATAGCTGTTCGTTTCAAATGGACCTATGTATCGCTTGTCTACTCTGCTGACGAGTACGGGGAACTAGGTAAATGAAAATTTTGGTCCGTTAAGGGTTGTGTATTAGCATATCTCCTTTGATTGAACTTCATAACCCTCTCAGCTTTAAGTTTCAAGATCGTTAGTGAATTTCTTTATTATTCTCTTCAATCTGGTGCTTCTCTCATATGATTTTGTAAAATGTTATCTCTCAGCTTTTGAATTTTTAAGATTTATTATGGATTTTTATCTTGTTCTACCTGATGCTTCATTCGTAGTATGTATGATTTTACTGTGATCTTAACCTAAATTAGATGTTCTACGAACTTTGAAGCATATATTACTTTGTAACGTTTTTTCCACCATTTCTACCTAAATCTCTCTAACTTGCAGGTGCCGATGCTTTCAAGAAAGAAGCTCGGAAAAAGGGCATTTGTATCGCTATTGAAGAAAGAATACAGAACAAAAAAGAAAGCTTTACAGAATCGATTGATAATCTTATAAAGAAGTGAGTCTTGAGTTTGTACCTTCTCCACATATATTCTTCTATCAAAAGTTATATGTAGGTTACAACCTGACAAGAAAGTCGGAGCTAGGGTAGTTGTGCTGTTCGTTGGAACCGAGTACGTTCCAGAGCTGTTGAAACATACTGCTGAACGGATGAAGCTCTCGGCTGGCTACAACAAGAAGAAAATAATCTGGTGAGGATTTCTTGAATTTCTTCTGATTTTCATTGACCGTACCTTCTTCTCTTATAATTTTTCTATTATCATAGGTTGGCATCCGAGAGTTGGGATCGCAACAACGATAAATATATGATCGGTCATAATCGCTTAGCTGCCCAAGGTGCTCTTGTTTTGATGCTGGCCTCGCAGAAAGTGCCTTCATTTGACGAGGCAAGATATCTCACGTTCCTTTATACTCATCAAGTCGGACATAGTATTATAAGCAATGATTGGGCTTCAGTTCTAGTAGGTTCGACGAGTTATTGCTAGCGGTACTCGTTAAGATTTACTTGAATAGAGTTTGATGAATAGAACTTCTAGAAAATAACCCGCTGCAGGGATAGCTCTGTGAGCTCATTAGAAATAAATAGAGAAAACACCTGAAAAAGTTATTTTAATTTTTTTCATCAAAAAGTGACCAGTTTGGTTATTCATCACTGCCCCACCAATAAGGTAATATTCATTTGTATAAAATAAAGTCGAAGAAAACTCGCGCACTGCCATAAAAGCGAAAAGTGGCAGGTATGAATTCAAGGGTTTGAAGCCGCTTCATCATAAGAATTTGTTAGAAAAAACGCGCTCCCAGAAAACTTTTTCTAAAATTAACGATGGTCTATGAGGACCACACAAGGAAAGTTTCACTGATAAAATTTTTCTAGAGGTGCGTCTTTTTTGCATTTTCTTATGACGAAGCAGCTTCACATTCTCAAATATACACCGATAGCATTCTTCCTTTAAGCAATTCAAGACTATTTGTTTATATAAGTACTTGCAGCGCACTTATTCGCATAACCAAATATATACTTTACAAAAACATTTCTTTGCCACAAATGCAGAAACAATTATATATATGCTCATAAACCCCCTTAATATTCGAGTCAAAGTCTTATGATGTCTATTTGAGCAAAACTTTATGAAATTTTCCGATGAGAAATGCAAGTAAATAATTAGTCCATTTACTAAACATATTGTTTGGCTCTCGCTCAAGCTCCTCACCCTCATCAGTCAATTTCTATAAGCCTAAGGAGTAAATTGTTATATCTGTTCCTTGGTGAATGGAAGAAAAGTCCAATTCAAATCTCTATTATCCTTTAACAACGGAAAATTTAGTACTTGTTGTCCTTACATCCGGGATCGGAGAAATTCGAGAGGAACAAATGGTTACGCGAGCTATGGATATCCAAATACAAGTGCAGTTTCGATTTACCACCCGAATCGACGGAAAATCGGTAAGTGTAAAAAACATTCATGGTATCAGGTTGATGCAAAAATAATGGCCGATTTTAAGCCTTTTTTCAAGACAACTTTTTCCTTCAAAAACTGAGACAGCACATCATTAAGAAGATGTTTTCATGCTCTATCTAAAGGTGGATAAACCGTGCTTTCAGCCTTATCTGTTATAAAGTTAGGGGGCTCCAAATTATCGCATCCAAATTCGAAACTTCATTGCATTCACTTTTATAGCCAGAATTCAAGCACCCATTAAGGCGCTTCTTCAAAAATTTAGCTATTGTATGTAATCGAAATCGTCTGCATTACGCATATTTAACCGTATTTTTAAAGTTATCCAGATTGAGATATCGGCGCCTCAACCTAGGTAGCCGTTGCGGTCATTTTGACCATAAATTTCTTTCAAAGAAGTCAATCGTTAAAGCGTTGCACATTTCTGTAAGCGTAAGGTTAGGGAATCCTATTAGCATTTTTGGCAAAAACATCCAGATGCTCAATATGCAGAAAATTTAAAAAATTACATATTCGATACTTTGAGGCATACAGGAAAAATGTTGAAAAAACCGACAATTTTGGATTTCAGTTTTTTCCTCTTCGCAAATTTTTTTGTCCATACTTTTTCCATCGTACTTTGTACAACTGACTTGCGGCTACAAAATAAGCCAATTATCATTCTTACCAACAAACTGCAAAAGTTTGCTGCCTTTGATGGTCCTTACTATAGTAAAAAATTCAAATTTTTCAGAAAGTTATAGCACTCAAATTGAGAACTCGCAAAACGCCATTACTTTTGCACCAACCTGATATTTACCAGAGTGCTATTATATTCGTGGGAGAGCATGCTTCGTACATTTCACTTTTAGTGCTTTTTACAAATTTTTTGTTTAGCTGTAAAGTTTCACATCATTAGTGGCGAACAAATAGGATCTCTCACGGCCAACTTGTCAATAGTGCGCTTCGATGCAAATTACTTCCTTGGGTTTTAATCCTATACACTGCAGCGTGCGGCTCGGAGAGATTATGATTGCTGAGGTTATAAGAAGGGCTTTTGCTTGGGAGATGGTGATAGGGTTAATTGAGAGCAGACCAATTTTTCCTATAGAAATTTTTGAACTTGGTGAATCGACACAAAAATGGAGTTTAGACTGAAGAGTTTGTCGATGCCTGTGAGCTGGTTATAATTTTGAGAATTTTATAGAGTTCTTCAGTCTTGAGTAGTTATTAACGCGTCTCCAAAATCAAACTTTTAGGGAATTATTACTTGAATTTTCTTCAATTCATCTAAAAGGAGAAGAGAATGAAAAGAAATTTCTAGAAACTGATGACTTGCCTTAAACAGATCATAGATTGGTGCACATATTATGTTACAAATCTATTTACTAGACACCTTGACTTTCTCAATTGTAATGTATTCTGAATCTTTTCAGTTCTCAGAAATTCAGAAGCTTTGATGTTACTTTACCAAAAATTGAGATCTCCGAGAAAGGATTCAAACAACAGTCTGGAAAATTCAAACACTATCACGTTCCAAAAATTGCTCTATTTGGATTATACCATCTTTTTAGTTTGAGGAGTCGATTACTTATTTTCTCAACGATTCAGTTTTGAATCAAGCTTGCGACCATTTTGTCACGGTAATTATGCCGCGACGGGCTATCTATCTCCTTCCAAATCTTCTAATGAATTCAAGACGAATATAGCTTATTAACTTCAACGGTAATCTTAGGAACATCTCTTCATTCTAGATGTGAAGACATTCGGCAAACAAGTGAAAATTTCCATGCCGATGACAAGGTTCAATTCGTTATCGACGCTGTCTATGCGATCGCTCATGCTCTTCAGGTAATTTTCTAAGATAAAGTCCAGTTCAAAAGCACTTTCATCGAAAGTTTACTCGTCAGGCGATGAAAAGCACTGTGTGTCCGGATGACGCCATCGAAACGTCGTGGATATCACGTTACTCCAAAAAGCCGGATATCTGTCATGCGATGCAGACTATAGACGGGGATGAATTCTACCAGAAATACCTTCTAAAGGTCCAATTTCAGGGTTGGTCAAGTTTTTATCTTTCTGTTGCAATAAAAACGTAGAAAAATGTGATGATAGAGATTTTTCTTTATTATCTTTTGTTTTCTTATAATCATAACTCAAAGGCATCAAGAAAATAATTATGCAGTTCCACCTTTGTTTTCGTAGCCGTCAAGACTCAATGAGAAGTTCAAATTTCCTGCAGATATTAATTTTGATAAAGTCTCACACCTCTACTCAAACAAGATTGAAGTAATCTGAAAAGGCTCTTTGCAGAATTTCTTCCCGAAAGCATCTGCTTAGTGTAATTGACTACGACTGAGATATTCAATACACAATTTTTTTCGAATTTTTTTCGACATGCAACGATTGTCTACAAAAAGTTCATAAAAACGAATACCCATATGTGCCCAGTTGCGAGATTTGCAAGCTGATTCACTGATTTAGAAGAAGCAGTGCATAGAATTTCTCTTGAAAGAAAGAATGACGAATTTTCTCATGGCTCGCTCTCTCACATGCTTTTTGTTTCACTTTCATTGCAAGTGTCAAACTGCTTTCGAGTAAATCTAAATCAATGAAAACGCGTGATCAATCTCAGGTAGAAAGTAAAAGAGGACACACAGATATTGCATTACTATATGTGAGATAGACGTTGAAATGAACAAGCTAGGATTCGTTTATTTTTTATTTATGAATTTTTACTACTAGGTTGTGAAGAAAGTTCCCGGGCATTTGCGAAAATTTTTTAAAATCGGTGTAACTTCAAGCCGATTGATTCTTTTCTGAAGCTACAAACTTCACTGCAAAGACAATTTTGTCCACAACATATTTTTGTCTTGCTGGCTTCTCAGCACCTCGCTGCGGTCCACCAGCATGAAGAGAAAAAGATCGTCGCGAAAAGTGGCCTATTTGTGAAGGATCATCTCAGGCAGGATGAGAGCTGGGAAGCCCAGTGCTGTAGTCATATAGAGGTCTGCTGGGGCTGTTATGGGGACCAATGTTTTTGAAGGACCAGCTGCAAAGAAAGTTTTCCCAGAAAATTTGAAAAATCGACTATTTTTTGCGCCCAAAAATGCACCATTTTTCGAGTACCCTAATTTCACGCGTGCAAGGCGCACCTATTTCGATTTTTCAATCAAACCCCTCAGGCGCTCCAAAGTATTTCGGAAAGCGATCCCTATGCCGTACGATTCTCTTAAGCAATATACAGCACGGCATAGGGTCCTTTGGTTGCAAAGTTCTTTGGCGTATTTGAGCTAGTCAATTTTGGAAAAAAAAATCCCCCGCGCCTTGTACGCGTGAAATTAGGGTAAATGACTTTGATGTCTTCTGGTTCTGCACAGAAAGGACCAAATCTTTGATTACTGGCAACATTGATGGGATAATGCCTTGCACATTTTTTGAACCCATTACATAGGGCAGGCGTTTTCCGCACAAGCGACGTCAGATGCGAAAAGAGCTGAAGTCAGAGGCAAGTTCGTCGTCTTGAAATTTCTTCGCGCAAATCCCAAAACGCTAGTGCAGCTGTGGGTCAGAAGTGAAAGGCTCCTCATTCGGATCACCCACTGGACGAAATTCTTTGAGCTGCACAAAAAATAGCCACAGGAAGGAAAATTGCTAAATTTTTATGGTTGGAAAGATTTCCTTTTTTGGTGTGCAAATCAATCACGTCTTGGCATCAATAAAAGTCAGAAGGCGTAATGAAAACTTCAAACTTTCCTCTACTGAACAGTACAGAAAACTTGGTGTCAAAGTCTTACCGAGCGCCGAAAAAATGCGTTTGAAAATGAAATTTCCAAAAGTGTCCGGGAACTTTTTTTACAACCTAATATTTTGTCCAAAGATGCCTTTGACTACTGGTTTGGTTTTGACCTCAGTGGTCACAGAAATTTTCTTTGAAAGAAACGGGGGGGGGGGGGGGGAGCAGACGTGGAGAAAAATGTTTTCAAATGAAGAAATGGTGTACCGTTATTCAAGCCCTGGAGTTTTCTCAAATGTTCCCAAACTATGCTTTTGTAATTATAAAAGGGAGCATGAAGACTGCTACAAAAATATTGTTGCTAACTTTAATGAGAACGGTTTTCACCTGCACTATTTTTCACCCGTTCAAAAGATTTGCATAACATTTCTGATGTCGAGAACTATTACGTAAAAGCCAGACATGCTTACGACTGAAATTCAGAAAATGATCTCGAACAAATCTCTTGCTGTCGTTGTAGTTATTGTTCAAAAAATTGCGCTAATCCATTTAATTTACGTAAATTGCTTATCACTTTTCTGAACACTTTGTGACAAACTATTTTGTCGCAGATCTCTATGAAAAACTCGGTCTTTTGGTTTCAACTTACGTATTTCTATAAGAAAAGTGTCCACTAATAGACATTGAGACAGCTAAAGTTCCTATCTGAAGGAATTTAAACCTAGCTAAGTACGTTTTATAATCTTCATTAACACTTCGATCTGAGCCATAAAATAGCTGCATGAGATGTTATGGACAACAAGTAGATTCATAACAAACGATTTGCTTGGTTTGAAACTTCGATAGATTCCAATCAAATCATTATCAGTCCTTATCAAACCTCAGAGCTTTTAATCATGATACGATTATCTTTAGACATCGTGGGTAAAAAATTCCGATTTTCGCCTCAAGGAGATGGTCCGGCGAGCTACACCATACTAACGTACAGGCCCAGATCCCTTGGTATGCTTATTTGAATCGAAAATTTTTTCAGAATATTTTGTATTTTTCAGATAAAAAGAGACGAGTATCGGACGACGACGATGACGTCAGTGGTATCACAGACTATGTGGAGATAGGTCATTGGTCAGAAAATAATGTGAGTCTTTACGTTTTTCATAAGTGCAGTATTCTTTGGCGTAAAATAAAATGTGTTTTTCGTAACTGCTGTATTCTTTCATGTAAAATAAACCTTTAGAAAAGCGTATTTTCCAGCAGCAAAAAAGGCAAAACTTCGAGTAATGCTGCTTCATTGCTCTAACGAATCAAGCTTGTCAAGTAAATTTTCTAACAACAAAATCCAAAGAACATGCAAAAATAAATACGATATATTCCGAGAATAATAGTTACGTTTAAACCGTAAAATCTTCATAAACATTGGATCATTCAACTTTGCATCGATAACGATTTGAAACTACATTACTTCAGCTTACAATCTATGAGGATGAACTATGGTGGGGCGCTGATCAGGTTCCATTCTCGCAATGTTCATTAGAATGTCGAACCGGCTATAGAAAACAGTTAATCAAGGTGAGCTTCACTTTTTTCCTTATATTTTTTCTTTTGCTCAATCTCTAATACAACATTTTTCCAGGATGAGCAATGCTGTTGGGCTTGTAGCAAATGCGAAGACTACGAATATCTCATCAATGAAACGCACTGTGTTGCTTGTGATCTTGGCTGGTAGGTATTTGAGCGAATTTTGTTCTATTTGAGAGTACGGTATACGACAGTATCGCATTTGTGAGAAAGATTTGGGCATGTGAATTTTCATAAGAAATTTAAGCAACCGCAAAAAACCACTTTTTTATACAATTTTTTCCACTAAATATCGTATAACCGTGAAGTCTATATGCCATTATCTGCCGAACGGCACCACAACCTGTGAACTGATTTAGCAGCGGCTAAGAAGAGATGTCGCACTAAATGACAGGCATTTGTGATTTATGCAAAATGGAGTGCACCAGCGATGGAGTTCGCATTGCATAAATATTTCTCATCATCTCTGAATCGGTTCAGTGCGGTTCATTATTGTTGTTAGATATCACCTCATTTGTTTCCAATAAGCATAACATTCGTATATGGTTTTGCTTACGCCATCCAAATGCCAAATGCCGGTTATTTAGTGCGCCACTTTTGTTAATCGGTCCCAAATAGCTGTACAGGTCAAGATAGCGCTTAACAACTGCGTTTAACTCTTCTCACAAAACTATACCAACACTTTTTTCTTGACAAAGCATACCAAATGGCTTCAGCGAGAGACCCGCTCCTGCTCAGCTCATGCTTCGTTGTTCATGCACGAAGCGAATCAAGTAAAGATTTGAAATTCGAACATCTCAAGCTGGGAGTGCAGAAAAGTTGTAGAGCCGAAGAAGCAAGAATGGGTGGAGGAACGAAATCCGTCAGTTTGGGTCTCCTCTGCGGACTACTGGTCCTGCAACGACATGCAACAGCATTGCAAAAGGACGAGCTGCCAGTAGGCGCCTCAGTACTGGCGGAGTTCGTTTTTCTACCCCATGCAGAAGCAAATTCTAAAGAAATAAAGAGTGAACATCTCAAGCTGGGAGTGCAGAAAAATTATAGAGTTAAAGAAGCAAGTCAAGCAAAATTTACAGGTGGCCAACCGATGACCGAAAAGGATGTTACGATTTATCGATAGCACACCTGAAACATATGAGATGGCGATCACTCTACTCCATTGTTCCTGCCATTTTCGCTGTTATTGGAATTATAGCGACCCTTTTCGTGATAGTTATCTATATCATGTAAGTCACATATTTACCTAGTTTGAGGAATTAAAAACCAAAATTTTTTTGCTGTTCAGGTATAATGAGACGCCGGTAGTAAAAGCATCTGGCCGTGAGCTAAGCTATCTGCTGCTAATCTCCATGATAATGTGCTACGCCATGACATTTGTTTTACTATCTCGACCAAACGCTGTTGTTTGTGCCATAAAACGAACGGGTTGGTCAATTTCCATCATTTTATTTATTCGCTACAATCTAAGCATACTACAAAAAACAAGATTGAATATACATGTGTCTAGAAGTATGTACTCACTTTTTGATCTATATCTCTCTTTCCAGAAGTCGTTCTTGCCTACCATTGATTGCCGTTTTATAGAGCTGTCTTCAACTTAAATTTATAGTATGGAGCGACTCACCGATCTCTCTCTTAGTTGTAGGATTACGGCAGGAGCTTTGGAGCGGATTTTGAGCCACGAGGGCCATATTTTGCCTCAGAAACTAAACAGCAGGACCTGAAAACTCTCACACTAAGCTAATCAGAGTTGCTGATTCTAAACTGAAGACTACGTCTTATCGTAATGCTTCATTAAAAAGTTATGCCACGTATACAGTAGCAGTTGTTTTTCGATGTTCATAAAGATTACAGCATCTAAAAAGCATCATAATTCTGTAGAAGGTTAGGTACTGAAATCGCCATGCTTGAAAAACCTGTTATGCAATTTTTTCGATTTTTTTGGAAATCTTTTCACAACGGCTCTAGGTGTCGGAAGTTAATAGCGTAGTCTTCAGTAGTGGGACTGGTGATTCGCTCCGTACTGTGATAACTGAAGCCAGCTCTACAGGATGATACATGAAGTTAGGCAAAAAAACTTATTGGGAAGAAAGATATTAACAATTGAACAGTGGGTACATAATTTTGGGATACTCTGTACAGATGGAACATTTTTGAAATAAGGGCAAGATGATTAAACGTTCCAAAAACGCTGACTCAGGTCCCCTCTGGATACTCTGAACGTTTGTAGTGTCCAAAGTATCCTTTGAGTCAGTAACAACTTGCAAAAAATTACAGTATTAGTAACAGTTTTTTCAACTCTAGTATATTTTCGTCATATTTTCGTCAAATTACCGCTTTTAAGGTATCGGATTTGCTTTCTCCTGTTTATATGCAGCTATGTTGGTGAAAACAAATCGAATCGCTCGAATATTCTCCCAAGCTACTCTTTCAGCACAACGGCCATTGTTCATCTCGCCATTATCACAGGTTAATCAATTCAAATTAGTCTAGCTTTTCCTGTAACGTTCTGACTGCTGGTCTTCAGTAAAATTTCAAATTCAGGTTGTCATGACAAGTATGCTTGCTGGTGTTCAATTGATTGGAAGCATAATATGGTTATTTGTCGTGCCACCAGGTAGGGTACTCCTGAAAAAATATTTTCTCACTCTCTCAAAACCAGTCTTTTCTCTTCTCCCTAAGTTGTCTGAATCTTGATAGTTTTTCAACCTAAATACAAATTTTGTTGAAATGTTTCCTACTCCGCGATTGTAAAAAATACACATTTTTGATTTGTGAATTGAGCTGCCAATTATTGATTGTTTTCCCACATTGTAGCAAATAAGCAAAATTTATATAGAAAAGATGACAGAAATTTTGTTCATCCAAGACATCTCTCCCTTCAAGGCTATGCTGACACATTCTTTAGGCTCTCGGCATGACTACCCCACACGAGATCAAGTGGTCCTAACCTGCAACGTTCCTGATCATCATTTCCTTTACTCACTTGCCTATGATGGAATCCTCATCATCGCCTGTACCGTATATGCAGTAAAAACTAGAAAAGTAATTTGTTTCTTTTCCACACATAGCTGTTGCAAAATAATCTGTTTAGGTGCCAGAAAACTTTAATGAAACAAAATTTATTGGATTTTCGATGTACACAACATGTGTAGTCTGGCTGAGTTGGATTTTCTTCTTTTTCGGAACTGGAAGTGACTTTCAGGTAGGTATAATCCGATTATCACATGTTCAAAGGAGATATATTTTTGGTTTAGTGCAATAGCACATTCAGCTTCTTTCCCAGATTATTATACAGAAAAAAAAGAATTCTTTTCTGGACTTTTTCTGACTGTTTCAGATTCAAACTACATCGTTATGTATCTCCATATCAATGTCAGCGAACGTTGCTCTGGTGTGCATATTTTCTCCAAAATTATGGATAATTCTCTTCGAAAAACATAAAAATGTTCGAAAACAAGAAGGCGAGAATATGCTGAACAAGCGGTAAGTATCCGAAATTTTTGTCATAGTTTGCTTTTTCTAATCGTTTTATCAGGGCAAGACAATCACAAGAAAGTTCACATTGATATAACTGGTGAGCCATAGTGCGCTTCAGAATAACTTACCCTCTAGGCAAGCAGCTTGAGCTTGGCCAGGTCCTTTTATGCGCCACCTGCATGTGCTAACAAAGCGCTAACTTTAGAATTATCCCCATGCATGTCCATTTATATCTTACACAGCTTGATTTCCTCTAATCCGGAACAGATAACAAGTTTTTTTACCATTTCCAATTTTTTTTACATCTTTATTCTTTGCAGGAAGAATGGGAAACGGCCATTTTGCACGGCTACAGACTACGGTAGAATAGCTTCGCTGCGGGAGTCATGCATACGATGCGGGATAGGTGGACGATTTTGCTCGCTCTTTGCATCTCTGTTCATCTGTACACTATAAAAGAACATTGGTCTTGAATTGCAACTATAACAGAGACGCAGAGGACGAACAACCAACTCGTCCATCTAAACTGCTCTTTATTCACATAGATCGCGCAGCCAGGCAATATAAGTTGGAACATAGGTCTTGCCAAAGTTTTTGAAAAATCCATAACTTCCTCCAAATTCAGTAACTTCGTTCAATATAATAAAGATAGAGAAAAAATCATGCGGTTTTTGCCAGTGTTGTGAAAAAAATCTTGTCATGATATAACGGCGATGAGAGATGATGAACAGAAACTTTCAAACTCTACTTTTTTCTGGTTTTCTATTGTTAAAAATGCCGAAGGGTATGGCAATCTTATTCTCACTTTTAGTTCGTTTCATGTTACACTTTTTTAAGTGAGATGAATTTATGCTAAATGGATCTCTCTACAAAAGGCTATGATTTAAATTATTTTCTTCCAATTTTGATTTTGTTCACATTTGAATTTCTAATATGCATATTAAAACATCATATACGTTGTTTAGAATAACGAGAATATTTCACAGATCAAAATGGCTGCCTAAGCACTTTTGAATGAATTTTTTTTTTGGTGCAAGACTTATGTTCCAGTGATAGTACCGTAGTTGACAGTAAGCAGGCCGTGCATAAACTCCCACCCAGAATGCTTTCTTCTTCTTTATCGAAACAGATGCTCTATTTCAGATCACTTGCAAATTGTACAAATCGACTGTACGGGTCAACGGCAGAGGAACCAAATCAGTATACGGCATTACTTTCGGGCGATCGCCGACAATCGACACGAAAATTCTCACATCCAACAAGCACTACGAGTTCGGCTCATGACACTTTTCTTTAGTTGAAGATCTCTATTATTTCTGCCATTCTATGCCTTATGAAGAGTTTGTTGAAGCAAACTACTGCGAAAAGCTGCCCGTAATCAGAGAAATATCACAGCAGAGCTAAAAAATTGCAAATGAAATGCAATATTTTTATATTTATTGCAGAATTGCTCTTTTATGTGCCTTTACTTCTCTAAAAGTGTCAATCATTACAAAATGTACTTTACTAACCTATTATAATGTTTACAATAGAGTTTATTTATTCTAATTGTTCTTCATCTTACATTAATTCCCCATCCTGTATTACTGCTCTTTGAAGCCTAAACATTGTCCTCATCAAAAAAGTGCCACCTACTGCCCGATAAAGTATATTCACTTCCTTCATTAACACTAATTTTGTTGTATTCGGATGGGATTTTATGTGTTACACCCCCCCCTCCAAAAAGCCCTCTCCAAAAGATCTCGTTATGCGCAGCTTAGCCATCTTCATGACATCTTCCTTTATACAAAACAATATATGTATTCGAACTAATGAAAATTATTTCTCCCTAACTGAGCTTTGTCCTCATTCTGTGATCTTTTCTTGGTGTTGTTTTTTTTTTTTGCAAAAACCTCCTTTTCCCTAGTCCTGTCATATTGTATTGAATAAAAAGTTCAGTTATATTCTTTTGGCTTTCACTACCCAACCACCACACATACAGTTGCGCTCCTAAATCATGGGAAAAAACGGATTACAAATTTTTCCGTCGCTGCGTATTTATCTTGAAAAAAGCGTTGGAAAGCCACAACATTTTTTAGAATAATTTTCAGAAGAAAACAAGCACATCACTGGGCTGCAGAAGTCTAGCGATTTGACACATAATTGAAAATTCCAAAAAAGCTTTTGTTTTAGATTTTGCGACATTTGTCGCGGCAAAACCATCGCAGTGCGTTAACTTGCTTTAAGAAGAGCTTCATGGGTTTGCGGTTAAATATTTAGATTCCTGGCAAATTTCGATGCAGATATCTTATAGAAAAACGAAGAGAGCTTGTACTAAAGGCATTATGTGAATAATTAAACTGTATTCGTTGAAACAGGTCGAATTCGCGAAAGTTCCTGATGATTTAGAAAGATTATCTTGGATTCTACGAACAATGAGCTTTAAGATGCTTTGCTAATGAAGTTTTGTTCAAGATCTATGACGCAGGCTGATTTAGCCTTTAACGAATCAGTTCGCAGAAACACAAAACAGAATTCACGACTTATATATTTGGAAGCTATTTATCTATGACTTGCTATCGTTTTAACCCGTTTGTATCGAACCTTTGAAGCCCACTCCCTCTTTCCCATAACAAACTAACAGATAGCCAATTTTTTTGCCCACGTTTCTTTAGACTCTAGGGAGTTCGTCGCCGAAAAATTTGCACTACCTAGTGCACAGCGTTAATGAGACGATCTCTGTACCACGGGCGTTGACCACTCTACGAAGACGAAGAGGCCATTGACAAAATTCAATTTTGTCACCTCCGTACCCCACCAACACATTTTTAAGAACAAATACGAGTTAGCATAACGGCTGAAGGTGTGAATGACATGCTATTTGCGTATGATCGGATTAGCCAGCATTATGCAAATGTTAATGGCTTTTATAGTATTTCTTAGCCACCTGTTGCAGTGTTATGGGCATTTTTCGATAACGACCTAGATCTTTTATTTCGGTAATAAGGCGCGCGTGAAACGGGAAATGTTGGAGATTCACTCTACAACAAATCCTCCCAAAACGCCCATGAAATTTTCGGAGGCGTAGTGCAATTTTGAAACTTAATTCCATAATTTGTTTCTGATTGTTACTTCCAAGAAATTATTTCCGTAAAAATGCAAGTTTTTTGAAAATGTCTGAAATTAATTCTCGATGATAAAATGTTTGAACCTCCCTGCCGGATTCCGATTTATTTTTCGCAGATTTCAATCATAAAAGAGTGATTTGGCATTTGACTTATTGAAACAGCTTCAGCATTTGATGGATAGAATACTAAAAACTTCCAAAACTTCAATTTTTTTAATGCGGGAAGAAACGATGCTGAGTAAACATCAGTATAAGGAGAAGAATGTGCGACTGAGATTTTTGCGTAAATGACATAAAAATCGTAGTTCCCGTTGGATAGGTCAAAGTGTTTCACGCAAAATTTTTGAAAAACTCAATTGCAACAATCCAAAAAAAGAATTTTCTTTACTAGAGGTCCTTTTTCCCATTAGGTGATACAAGTTTAAAAAGTGCTAGGCAGCTCCTTGATTTGGAAAATTTAATCGAAACGTGTAATGTAGGCAAAAATCCAAGAAAATACATGTTGACTTCTTCTGCTACAGAGGTTGATGTCTGAGCTTTATGTATCATGCAATATTTCGCTCATCAGAATATCAACAAAATTATTGTAAGGTTAAAGCATTGAATAATTGCTTCCGGAGTTGTGTTGCACAATATAAAAATTCGTAAATCACTGGTTTTCAATCGCAAAGCCATTCCATTAATAGAAAAAGGACTGAACATTTTGATTTTTCGCCTTCTTTACGCTTTTTCAAAGAAAGTAGGACCAATCCAAAATCCCAATCAATTCAGAAAATGCGGAGATTCCGCAGGACAATCAAACTTTGCAGTGGTTCCAGGATTGTGTATACTATTACAAAAGTGCAAACTTTGAAAATGGATAATTCCGCATGATTTTTACGCCAGACTGGTTGAAAACGGGTACTTCCACGTGGCCCGGCGGACTTTCTTTAATTTTTTGCGGAATTTCCGGTAAATTGTCTGAAAAAGTCTTAGCGATAAAGTTACCGTTACGGCTGCACGGTTACACATTGTCGTCCATATTCTTTAAGCAAAAATAAATGAGACTGAACTTCATTCGACTGACAAAAGCGTTATCCTACGAGATTATGTTAGATCCAATTATGCTAACTATCAGCTATTAGTGCAGCAGCCAAGATTTCCAAAAAAGAATTGCCAGATTATTCTCCTCAGCTTTTCGCAAATTCGATCCATCTCGTACTCCGGCTAGCTTTCCATCGTTAGGCCGAAAAAACTACAGTTTTTTAGCCATGAGGTTGGATATAATATGTGCAAAAAGTTAAGAAAGTACGCAAGCTTCTGGATTCACTTCAGCAACTTCCACATGAGTGATTTTACCTTTTATGAAAGGTAGAATAGAGTTACACATGTGATTTTACATCCGTCTGCAAAATACGTACTATTCGAGGGCATATTTATCAATTTTGTAACAAACACAACACACCACTGTACACGAGAGAAGATAAGGTAAAAACTGTTTGTAATGAGATGATGACACATTTGATACAGAAAAAGAATTCACAACCTTTTTCATGTTTCTATACTGTTGAACGTTAACAAAATCGACGCATTAATGCGGATTTACATTCAAGACTCTATCGTTACAAATAAAATATTGTATGCTAATTTCTAATGGAAACATTCTCGCTATTTAAAGCGTAGTATGAGGGAAACAACAATGATATCTATGATATGGCAGCAAAAATCAAAATGATGACTGAGTGCATGAAATCACTCGGAACTGATTCTGGATTTGTATAAAATGAGGATAAAATGGCATGAAATATGTGAACTGAGGATTGTACGGTGCTGAAAGTCTACTTCCAATAAAACTAGTATCTTCTAACTGCTGTGCACTGACCGAGCTTATCTCGCTTGGCGAAACGGATCACCTGAATAAAAACTGGAAGAAATATCTGTACAAATCTTGGACGCTGCTAAAGAAATAAATCAGAAGATTCAAATAAAAATTATTATTTACGCAGAACATCACAGATTCTAGAGCATTGTTGTCAAACAAGTAACTAGCTAAAAATAGTCAGTGAATTGAACGTACACAGCTTTATTTCTAGCAAAATATGCAAAAAAAAGTATTTCAAGAGCCAGTCTGAATATTTCAGCTCAAATTGCTTGCAGAGTCACAGTAGTAGACCTTTATAGAAACTAGCGGAAATTTTTAAAAAATTCAAATTTTCAAAATAATGTAGCTTCTTCATCAATTTTTTTCTAGACAATTAGCAATCGTCATTAGTTCAAATTATACATTTTCTCAATTTTTGATTTTTTCGGGTCGCCAATAACTTCGCGTTTGATTTGGTAATAAAAAGTTGGGTGCTCACCTTATCCATAGTTTCTTCGTCCCATTCGGTCAAAACTGTTTTACCATTCACTACATATCCTTGCCTATTATTGTCTTCATCGTCTTTTCCTGAAAAGAAGTTTTTTGCTGGCTTCTAGATGGAAAATGCGAGCGAGGTCTCATCTCTGCACTTTTTGTGGATTACCGAGTCTTGCCAAAATGTGAGCTTTTCTTCCCATTTTCACATCCATTTGCGAAATATTTCGCCGAAAAAAGCAAAGCATTGCCTTTACAAGCCCGATATTGCAACATCCCAGGCTGTTCACACCCCGATCCGGAAAGGCTCATAAAGATTGATGAATTTCGTTCTCCCAAGAGATCGTAGCGAATGTGTCGGAGCGGGCGAAGACAGTTCGCACTTGGGGCTCGTAATCGATGTGACAACGAGAATTTACATATTTTCACGATTTGTCTTCGACTCGATCGCTACGCATGTTCACACTTCGAAACGAACTGAAGATTTACTACTTACCGAGAAGAATGTAACGACGTCCAACACGAATTTTTGGGCATTTGCACAAAACTGAGTGTGATGACATCCAGAGTGAAGTTTCTCCACGTCGGCCTCGCATTCCTCTTTTGAAGACGTTTTCGATGACGATACGGTACCTAGCCCAGCCATCAACCATCTCTCGTCCAGTCACAAAGATTTGCAGAGCTGCAAATATGAAGAACTTGACGTAATTTTTTGGACAAAAACAAAAAGTAATTCTTAAGAAGTGGGATTCAAACTTCAGCTTTTATCTTTGATATAACAATACACCCTTAAAATGATTGAAAAAAATTTTACTTTTTTGTAGAAACATTATAAAATTCCGCATCTTCCTGCCCTTAGGCGAAGGAAACGGGTTTACGGACCATCCCTGCAACGTTTTAGTAGGGAAAGAACATCTGTAAACCTTGTTTTCATAACCTTATTGTTATTGTTAACCTGTTTTGAGTTTTTAGAGACAAGTATAATTTGGAATGAGATTTTTTGACTTGTAAACTGTAAATCGTTGAAAAGCATTAGGTTTAATATCAGATTATTCGACATTAATTTATAACAGTACTATAGTTTTCAATCTCCAAATGTTAACTGAGGGAATATACCGCAAAAACTTGATAGATTTGTGTAATTTATAAATATGTTATCATAATCGAATTACAAATCAAAATCTAAAAAGGGTTTGAGTCCCTGTTGGACCCCACACGTATAATATCATCAGTGAACTGTTACGCCTTTTGATTTCCAAATTTTACGTTTTTTTTTCTACTCGGGGATCAAATTCGTGCTATGATTCGATTTCGAGATATCCGCTAGGACCCTCATTATTTTTTTCAGAAGGCCCTCAAATGAGATCCAAATAATTTCGCTGTTTTATTCTTTTTACGAATACTTTATACAGCTAAACTCAGAATTGCTACAGTAGGTTCCCTACAAGGGCAAGATGATTTTATTTTAGTCTTTTTAACTTACCGTAATCTCGCTTGCAGTATTTCTTTTGATTGAGTCTCTTTGGTACAACCCTGCATTTCGGGCAGTTTTCTGAAATATGCAACAGAATCACTAAACTTTTTATATCATTTTTTTCGCCTTTGTTCTGAGGATAGCGATTTCTCAAGCAAACACAAAAGTGACATTGAGGTGGTAGTGTTCAAACGAGAAATGGATGGTACCTTGTTCGGACGAGGACGTGACGCTGGCGACACCCTTCACCGGAAGCCCTGAAATCGTAAAGAATTAACCAGTAATATTCTGTAAAATTTCGTCAACTTAATGGCCACTGAGCCTGAACGAAGATGTGGCATATTGTATAATGAAGGATTAGCGCATTCTACGATGAACAAAGCTGATCCTACGTCGTTCCGCGACGATGATAATTAGCGTGCGATGATCCGATAGACAACAGTGTAGGCACAAGAGCTGTGTGTAAATACAGATAAAACTTGCTGATGCACGGAGTTACAGTCGATCGACTCTGTTGGTAGCCCTTCGCACAACGGTTGCATGTCTGGCCTGTGACTCCTGGTTTACAGATACATTGTCCGGATGTTTGGTTACAGCTTTTGCTCAGTGATCCAACAGGATGGCATCCACAACCTAGAAAAAATTGATTGTTGTTGATTCTCCTTCTTTTGTACTTCGTCTACATTACAAATTTTGATAAATGAAGTGTGAACGCCTGCTGTAAAATCGTTTTGCTTGTGTGGTTGAAAAAGCTCTATACCACATGCGCTTTGGGTTCACTGAGAAAAGAAATACTAATTCTTGGACGCAGGTTCGAAAATCACAGAAAATCTTGTTGCTATGCTTTTCCGTGATTTTTTTTTGAAATGTTGCAAACAGATTGCAAGCAGACTATTCTTCTTGCCGATTATGCCCAAATGCCTTAATCTACCTTAGTTGTATACCAAATAGTCAGTTAAAGGAAGTGTCAAAGTAGAAGTCGGGTGCGGAAGTGTACCATATAACTCAAAAAGAGGAGCATAGTACTTGGCTTTGGTTCAAAATCGTCTTGCTGCGTGGTAAGGAATAGGTTAGCAGATTTGGCGGTTCATAAGTGCATATGCGGTGTAAACAGTACTTGCGCGTGAACGTAGAGCGTCCATGTGGCCCTAGAGCGCATAATTTCAAATTCTGCGCTCGCGAATAAGTACGCTCGGCAGGAGAGTAACGCTATATAGAATATCAGAATGTTTAGCCTACTACAACTTACAATATTTTTGAGGCTTCAAATTCAAAAAAATTATTATTTCCACAGTTTTCTCAACCTTTTTATCCGGCAACTATAGCTGCAGCGAATCTGATTATCCGGGAGTTCCTTCAGATATTCTCACACGTCCACGCAAAGTCCCCGAGGGATTTGTCACTCATCATACACGGAGGGTTCACTCGACCCGACCCCCCGTGTTAAGTTCACGAACAGCAGCTTGTAATCGGGGATGTTCGCAAGTTGTGTAACTGGATGTTTTACAGGCGCGTCGTGTTACGCGCATCGATCACCACCGATCATTGCCAGAGGGCAATTTGTCGAGAGACATCTCCACTTGCTGGCAGAGCTGTTCCGTTAGCCGATGGATTACACGTGTGTAGCACATACGGATCGTGGATCAAGAGCTTTCAATGCCTCGAAATGTCTGGCAAATTTTAGAGCATTTTTTGTGAATGCGGCGAGTCCCACAACGAAAAAGCCGCATGCATGGTGTATTTAGAAAGAACGCAAATTTCTACTACGGTGGCTGCGTGCGGCTTCCGCAACTGTACTATTCAGGGCTCGGCTTTCCAAAAATGCAAGAAAACAAAGTCCTCCCCCGCCCTTAACAAAAAGTTTGCGAAGTGCCCTTTGACCTCATCCGAAATATCCGGCCGACTAAAACGACGAAACGTCGACGAAAAAAAAACCTAATCTCAATCAAATCCTAACCCCGGAATATTACTAGATTCATATCTTCAATAAAACGTTATCCCTTTTGCTTTTTGTCACAAAAACGATATCCAGCCTGCTTATAAGCCATCTGTGCCGAGCCTTGGTACTATTTTGGATTTCCTTTCTACTCGAAGCGCCTTTTGCTTATATCTACTAGCTTTCTGGACGAGTGATTGGGCAGACTAGTGCTGCCTTTGATTTTAGCGGTTTGAAATGCAAAATAAATTTTCTTTTCAAGATCTATGAAGGTCCTATATAGTCACTAGCCATGTGGGAGAATCTCCTATGCCAAGAATGCTAACGTAATTCTTTGCTCAGTCAGCAGCCCGAATGAGTAACCAACCGTGTAGCGAAGAAGATTTGCTAATAAAAAGCGCAAAAGTTGTCAGCCCAGACAACTAGCCGCAGAAAGACTAATCGTATTCCCTTTGTGGACACACACACACAGAGAGAGTTAGCATGAAGAAAACAATCCTTTTGCACTTTTTTGCCAATGTACAGCTTAATGAGATGTTCTTCCTAGGAGGGGAGAAGACGAGGTGTCCAATGTACTTCGTCATTTCGCTGTAACATGATGGCAGGCCGAGAGAAATCCATTCTTTGCTCAAATGAATAGCCTTGGTGGACGTCGTAATTGACCAACGCCGAATAGCTCAATAGCGGTTATATTAGCGCCAGAGGTGTTGCGAATTAGCGCATTTTCTGGCAAACTCAAGCCTCCGGAAGTGAACGAACTTTACCCATAAACTATTAGGCCGGAAAAAAAGCATCCCGTTTTTTTAAGCTAAAATTGGTATTACTCTATAACTAGATTATATCAATATCCAAGATTTTATGGTTAAAGTCTCAAAGGTTTGTAGTACACAATTTCTCAAATGGGAGAGGCCCAGGACTACTAGGGGCGGAGTTAGCCATTTTCCATTTTTCAGTTTTTTCTTGATTTCTAATTGCCGAAAAAATATAGCAAGTGCACATATGGATATGTGCATGTGTCTGCTAATGCAGGAGCAAGTGAAAAGTTCGTACGATTTTTGGGGCAAAAATCCTGGGCCAAAATGAAAGTGCCCGCCGCGATTTCCCGCTACTGGAAGATTTTTTTTTTGAATTGAGCTAACAATTCTTTGTATATTAGATGGGCTGCTCTCATGGTTTGGCTTTGAACTTTGCAAAAACCAGGACTCAAACCAATGTTTAGAGGTCATTTTGTAGAGCTTGGTTTGCTCTATCGAATGACATCCCTCACATATTTCTTCGTATTCGTCCTGTGCTTTGCTGTAAAAAACTATATTCTTTTCTTTTCAACCTAATGTTACTTTTTTCTTAACCGCAAGTGTGGCTCCCTTAGTTTCTTGTGATTATAAAACGAGAACGCCAAATGTCGTACGAGGGTAACAGTCGTAAAAAGAACTAATCGTATTGCGTGTTCCGAGGTTATGAACACCATTTTGATAAACGACCGCGCACTGCGGGCATAAAAACGCCTTTGGCTCGCGCCACGTAATTACCAGCATTTTGCTGAATTTTTCCAAGCTCGAACATATTGAGATGATAAACTCTAAAGTCATAATGTGGTGGGCTAGACAGTAAAGACATTACTGGTTATCTGGTTGGTGGAAAGAATGAATTGGCAGGAATTTTCTCGCGCTTTTTCCTAGAAGATTATTGAGATAAGTGTCTTAGCAATGGCTTAGCGCTCCTCATTCTCCACTCAAAAGTCTTCTAAAAAAAGTTTGTACTACTGCACCTGTAACGTCAGCATGATTCAATTAGAATCTATATATAAAGAATCGCTGTGCCTGTTCAAAAAGGAGATAGTGCGGGAAACCGCGCGGCTCCCGCAGCGAACGCGCCTGCATATCTAGCACCTTTACATTACTGGTTCACTAATAACTCGGAACTTGTAGGGTCCAAGTGCTCGTTCCGCACAAAATGAAGATGGTTGAAATAATCTAAAATGCTCACTTTTGCAAGCTTTTTTATTGGTGATCGGTTTGCTCGTATCCCTATAGAAGCCGGGTTTGCAGAGATGACAGTTGCGTCCAATGGTGTTATGTCGGCAGTTAATACACACACCTCCACTTCTGAAAAAAATAAGTATTAGGTTGGTGCAAAAGTTCTTTCCGCCCAAATTCAAAAATTCATAACTTGTTGAATTCTCAACGAAACTGCAAGATCTAAATTTTGCTTAAGAGAGAAACTCATGCTCTTTGCATTTACACCTGAGCTGTTTTTTAATGTTTACAAATTAAGGAGATAGAAGCCCAAAACCAAAATCACTCGAAATTTGAATTTTTCGTGTAGGGTCATAAAAAATCGGAAACCTGCAACAAAAATCGGAGCAGTCAGTATTGTAGGTTCTTTCACCAGCTCTTTCTAACGGTGCAAAGTTTGCGCTGATTGAGCGCCTCTATCAAAAGTTATGAATTTCGAGCAAGCAATACAAAAGGGCGAATTTGATTTATTTTGGCATTTTTCAGGGAAATCATAACTTTTCATAGAGACGCTCAATCAGCGCAAACTTTGCACCGTTAGAAAGAGCTGGTGAAAAAACCTACAATCCTGACTGCTTCGATTTTTGGTGCAGATTCCCGATTTTTTATGACCCTACACGAAAAATTCAAATTTTGAGTGATTTTGGTTTTGAGCTTCTATCTCCTTAATTTGTAAACATTAAAAAATAGCTCAGGTGTACATGCAAAGAGCATGAGTTTCTCTCTTAAGCAAAATTTAGATATTGCAGTTTCGTTGAGAATTCAACAAGTTATGAATTTTTGAATTTGGGCGGAAAGAACTTTTGCACCAACCTAATATTTCTCATTTTAGCTCTTATATCACCCAGAAAATGTGCTTCAAAACTATGCTTACCTGTTACCGCTTAACCGGTACAATTCCTGATCGAATCGACATCGTTTTGCATGAAGATTACAATTGCACGCTGCAATAAGCATATTAGTCGTAAACACACACATGATCATGCTTATGTCGAGTCATCGCCCCGGGATCATCGGAACATTCTTCACTATCCTTTGAGATACGATAATTTACAGCACATCTGCTCTCGTCGGGTAGCAAAGGCGCCAAGCTCACAACGGATGGCGTTCGAGCACTCCAACAACAACCGATTATTGATAACATTCTCGTATTTCGTGAGACTAGATGGGATCAGTGGGAACTAAGAATAGAGAGGACAAGCATAATTTTGTGGTCCCATCTTGAAAATCCTTTTTTTTTTCAGCACTAAATTCCCTTTCCGCGCATCTACTCGCACCCTTAGCTGCATGCACCAAAAATTTTCTCAAATCCAGTGAAGCCTAGCCAAATCCAACCAAAACCCACAAGTGATCTGGTTTTCTTCCCCCCCCCCCCTCCACCCCCAATAATGTGTTAAACGTTCCACAAACGGTTTGTTTATCGTAGCCTAATATAGGGTTGGAGAACAATACGAGCGACACCTGCGTAGGGACCTACCGTATTGTCGGGTTGACGGGGATAAGGCGCGCGTTCACACCCTTACACTTGTGTCTCAGTTCGGCTAATGACATTCATTTCATTTGCATATCCACATATGGGAGAGCGTACGGCTCGTTGACCGAAAGATTTTGCAAGTTTCGGATTTCATTTGGGGCCAGGGAGGGGGGGGGGAAGACAAGAGGAACTTAGCCTGCATTTACAGGTGGTAGCAGGTAGAAAAAGCGAATAGAAAGTCAACTAGCATGCTAAATTAACCGATTTTCTAGACAGCCCAGCGGAACTTCTGCAAGACGAGAAAGATTTGCGGTGGTTTTGTAGGACTTTGTTTTCTACCACAAAAGTTTGAGCTCGAACGGGAACTTCCGCGGGAGTTTGACACCCGATAATCGCCAAGGAGAATTCCGTAGCAATCCCTACAAAGGACTGCGGGAGGTTCGCTCTCTGGATATTCAGCTAAACTTCCGTTTTATTGTCTGAGCTTTTGAAAACCCGAAAATCCAGCAAATGCTTGTTACTTACTTATCAAAATAAAGTGAATTAATTAAAGTAATTTGAATAAACTTAGAATGAGAATGTTTTCAGAGTGTTTCTGTACCACAAGTAAAGTATTCATTGAAAGACTTTGAGAGAACACTAGTTGATTGATAATACTCCGTTTCTTCTCTTAGACGGAGTTTTTAGCGAGGTTTGATTCTTCCCCGGAACTCCTCAGTAAAAGTCGCAACTATTTTTCTCTAGGCTGTGAGAAGATCCCAAACTTTTTTGGTTTTGCAAGCTACCTTTTCCACAATTTTTCAAATAATAATTTCGTCAAAGTTAAAGGCAACATATTCATCAAGCCTCGAATCTATTTAGCACACGACAAACAGTGGCGTCGTAAATGCTTCTCGAGGTTGACCGTTGCCGCCTAGGCCCCCCCGCTAATCCACTTTTATTTATTGCGAGAACAATAATATTCGGCCGGATGAGGCAGAGAGGGTCAAAAAACAGCGGTGGCGGCTTTGAGCCGATGAGGGGACCTCACACTCGAATCAAACGACAGAAGGGCCACTTTTGCCATCATATGGGGCGATTGTCGCATAAGTACTACGCAATAGGTGGGGAATTTTTGCCAATAGGGATGGGGATGATGGGGATCAGAGCTTGGCCGATTGTTCTCGATTGTAGTGAGACGAGAGCGAATTTTCTATTTGGATAGTACGTCGGGGGGATGGATGGGGACGAACGGACGGAAGTGCCGCGCCGCGTGTATCGTCGTGCAATACAAAAGGCGCTGCTCCTGAGCCTTTAGCCCCCCTTCAGAGGTGTCAATAGCACGCCATTGAACGCTACAAATTGTCCACACCCTAACAAACAAAAGCTACCAAGGGCCTGAAAGGCAAAAACGTACATTATTAACGCATGATAGAACACGCTCATACCCCCCTCCCCATAGAGCCAGCCTCAAACACGAATGCCCTTTCGATGGTCATTGTCTTTTCTTTGTGCTGAATGCTTGGGAATAATCAACAGAATATGTGCGAAAAAAAAACTACGACAACAATCACTGACGGATGGGGAAATGCCGGAGGTGCAAATGTATTTTAGAAAGATACGAAAGAGAATCAATGAGACAAAATCTATAGCAAAACGAAGGGAATAAAATCTGAGCTTATTGCTACGTATTTGAAGCATGTCAGGAATTGCATTGGTTGCGTGAGCTGGATAGATCATTATTTTGGAAACCATAAATTCCATTCAAAAATTCTCATGCAATGAAACGGAATTGAATTACTGTACTGAATTTGCTCTGCAAAAATGTTCAACTTACTCAATCATTTCTCCACTGGTAAAATTCTCCTTCAAAGAAATCCAATTACGTTCGACAAAGATTCTTAAGAAATTGTACAAGTGATGAAAAAAAGTGGCAAGAAGACAAAGGAGCAAGGCGAAAGCGAACAAGACGTTACGAGTTGCAAATTTTCGTTTACACCCCCCCCCCCCCACAATCTCCGAAGATGTTATAATGCTATAAAACTTGATAAACACAAAGAATAGCAGTATATATCACTTACCGACACAGGCATTTGCATTGTGTGAGGTTGCTCGTCCCCATGGACGATCGAAATGAAAAGGTTTACAGGTTTCGCATTCTGTTCCAGCCGTATTATGTTTGCAGTCGCAAGTGTACTAAAAGTAATTTAATTGTAAAAATTTTTGAATAATGATTTTCACAGCTAATAAGCAGCTTATTAAGCTCATTACCTTTCCCATTTTGTCAAAAATACATCGGCTAGCATGACCATTGCATTTGCATCTGCCACCAACAGCCAACTCGCCCATCGCATAGAAGTAGCGCTGTTTGACGTTCTCTTCGTAGCTGGTCGCATTGCTTGTCATATCGTTAACGTCGTTGGATGCGCCATAGAGATTCGTCTGAATGTGCACACATAGTCAGCTCTCTGACGCATTTCACGCTAGTAAAAGGTCCTGGCTGCTGACGAAAACGACGAAGTCTTACCTGATCTGCGCTTAAGCGGGTAAACACGATCCTGATGTCGGTAGCGGTTACCCAATCTTGTAGTACGGGCGAAGTTTCGAACATCAGGGCCGAGGGGCGATTTTCCAGGAATGGGAAGGCTATTCTGTTCCCACCGGGGGCAATATTGTGCGCATTGGTGCAGACGGCTTCCTAAAGTCATTAGCTGATAACCCACCAAAATTTATGTTCCCAAGAGTTCTAACCTGTTCGTTATGTTTCGTTATAGGAACATCAGGCGTTTTACCAAACATCCCCACACAATCAGAAGAATAATACTGGAACGGCACCCAGCTCTTTCCATGATCTGTTGACTTATACAAAGCCATAGAATCTGGCAGACGAGAGCAGAAATACATCGAAATGTATGTCAGCTCGAATTTCTTTCCCAGTGATAAGGTTAAGGATACATTGTGAGGAGTTAGCGACGGTTCCGAAACCCAGCATGTCATATTTCCAGCCGAATTTAAGTCCGTTAGCAACGATGCCGGATGAGATTGTCCGGGCATGGATGCGTCACATACTTCGCACCTTTCTCGCATGATACCATCGGCTCCTTCTTTGATAGTGCAGAACCTGAAAAATATAAGAAAAAAGTTTTTTTAGGGGCTAGGAGTTAATTTGATCTCTCATTTGGAGACAAATTTGGCAGAGGTACGACCGCTGTTTCGCGCTAATCCAATCAAGTCGCACAAAGCAGCAGCAGTAGCAGCGCAGAGTTTTCTCTTTATCGAATAGATATAGTAGGTTTTGTTCCAATGGTATTTTTTCCCATTTGTGAGATATTTCGAAAAAAATCGAAATTGCGCACCTTGATGGTCCATTCATGCCACACGTATCACTAGCAATGACCGGTTTGCCAAATGCTGCATTAATAAACTCAGGAACACATCTGACCGGCCGTCCAGTAGATTCATAGCATGGATCATGATCAGGTTCCCTCATAGAGAACTAAAAATATGCTCGAAATTACGATCTGAGCGTGATTTATGACAGCGAACGCAACCATCGCCTAGCGCCTCACCTGTGAAAAGTATGCGGCTTCGGCCGCATGCAGTGAGAATAACACTGCTAATAGCATTAGACACTTCTTCTTTTGTCGTTTGTTCTTTTTCTGGAAAAAGAAAGGGCAAAGTGGAGGAGAAAATCTGGGCCAATAGAGTAATATGTAAACATTGAAAAAATTGCACTTTGCATATGTTAGAAATAGCGGTGATAGGGAAAGTATAAACAGAGAAGGGTTTAAAAAAGTGGCAGTGAGGATAAAGGTCAGCTAGCGAGAAGAGGTTCGAAGATCTACGTGGAATGCAAAGGTGTGGAGTGAACGTGAGGCAGAATAAAGAAGCTTGGCAAATTGCCAAGTTCTTCAACTTCTCAAACAAGTAAAACATATCATTATTACTGATCCCTTTCCACAGAAGAAAGCAGGTAATCTAAATAAGAGTCGACGGAGGAAAGGCGGCATGTGAAGGGGGCAGACCGGGGGCGTCGCAGATTACCCCGCCCACTTTCCTTTCTACGGTAGGCGACAGCGGATTAGAAACGCAATCCTATCAAGAGATGCGCAACTCTCGAGGAATAATGTCATTGAATGCTCTGGCATTGTCGATCACAGGTGGGTGAGAGATAAACGAACGCTAACCTAGACCATATTAGCTAACTATGGGCAAAAATCCAGTACTCAAGACCACTTACCATGGCCAGGAATTTACAAGAAAATGAGCAAGTAGCAACGGCAAAATTTCGGGTGTATGCCAAAGTGTGCAAATTTTATTGTTAGATGGACATTAAATCGCAGTTATTTGGTCTAATAACGTTCTAGAACTAATATAAAAAATTTTGAACGAGAAATGTTAATTAGTTGCTGCTGGCTGCTCAATCTTATTGCATCAAGTAATAAAAAATGTGTAAGCAAGTAATTGATGAAGGTTTGATACCAGCAATTAAGCAAAAATCCTTGCTGCATATCACCTTGATTTTGTTTCAATTCTTTTATTGTCTCAATATCAATTCAAAACAGAATGCTATTATTCTTTCTCTTTATTTCAGTCAAAATATCATTAATAAACTAAACACTCTTTTTTCACGAGATAGGCTGAGGTAAAAAAACAGCAACAACACATGAAAATAAAACAGAATATACAACCATGAATGCGAAATAAAAGAGAACAAACAAAGGATAGAATCCTGTAGGACAATAGGTTCATCTCACTTTTTACTGTGAAACCGTTTTACTGCTTTCATTAGATTAGGCGATCTCAAGTATTCTATGAGATGAAGGCAGAAGGTAGTAGATGATGACTACCTGAACAGATGTTTAAGGTCAAAAATAATCGTGAAAATGCAATAAATAGCAATCCATTGATGTTACGTTCATTCAGAAAAAGTAGCCAAACTTCAGCAAATGGTGACTTCAAGCAGCTGGTAAATCAAGGCAATTTATCACATACTTTTTATAGATTCGCATAGCATAAAAAATAAAAGTTTTCAGTTGGCGACAGCCTCTTGACCGTTTCCCCAAAATTTCCACTTTGGAAAAGTACCTAAACCCTGAAGTATAGCCAATTCAACCTCTTGATTTAAATTGATTTAGCTGAACAGCTGAGCTCTCCTAAATCAATTTATACTTTACTTCACGAAAAATTCGTTTTATAAAGAAAAAACTATGCAAATCTTCTCTTTGGAGAATATGATTGATTATGATTAGAATCTTGTAAAATAACCATTAATTATTATTCTCATCTGTATAATCTCTCAAAATGCGCAATTTCACACGCTTTAGCCTCTTAACCCGAGGCGCAACTAGCAACCGGAATAATGCATGCTTTCTCTCATACGATATCATTACCGAATGCTCCTCCGGGTGAAAATCATGTTTCGTGCCTTATCTCTGTTCAGTTCAGCAAATATTAATATCTTTTTGCATGATGCAGAACTTATAGAGGAGTTATTTGAGTTTAGCACGGAACTGAAATGAAGCAAGAAATGACAAGAAACATCAGCACTACCGACAGAATGCAATAGAGCATATAGCAAGTGATAAATCATTGAGAACGTGAAGAAATCACTGGTAATTTTTTTCCTTATTCACGAGGAACACCCTCATTGAAGTCATTTGTTATTTGTCCACATTGTCTGAGAGGAGAAAGTCGGTCTGTGCTCAGGAGTACTTCGGATTTTACTACGACGAAGCAGATATCAGTGAAGGGTACAAAGTAAAGATAAAGCACAAATAATGATGTAATGTGATAGTCTGTCTACCGTAGTTGCTGAATTTTTGAAGCAGAGATAGTCTAATCAAACAGCAATAAATAAAAGAGAATATCTTACAATGTTGAGGCTGATGAGATGGTTTAATGCTGCAAACTATGTGTTAGCTATAAGCTTTTCCTGTATTCGTGATCCTGGCTAAAAATGTGTATCAGAAAAATTATTCTAGGCTGTTGACAGAACCAGCTGCTCTTGTACATTCAGGAGCAAAAAACGGTATGTAAACTATATTTATATCGGAATCCACTGTAATCCAACTCCATCTAGGGTCGCAAAAAAACCAAATAGAACTTCTCTCTAAAGGACCATAATCTCCTTCATTTCAGCCTTCCAATGATTCGATGGAAGAAACAATGCCATAGATAGAGGAATTATTATTTTCTGCAATTCTTTGTTCCCTGTGAACGTATTCACTTACAGTGATTCCGTTTATATTCTTTTACTGAATCGAAAAAGAAAAATATGGAATAGGATTCTTTCTTTGCAAATGGTTTTCAAGAAGTCGCTTAGAGATAGTATTATTGAAAGAAACAGCATTACTTCATTTCTGGTCTTATAATGCCGAAACTCTTTGGAAGCTATTTATCTCGACTATTCAGGGTACTTACTTAGTGGCCGTATCATTTGCTTTGAAATGTATAGCGAAAAATTAATTCTAGGGAATCTTCAATCTGTGTGAAAAATCATGTGTGCGCTTCTAGCGATACTTATAGATTAATAGATAATAATTATACTAACCAAGCTACAACTGAAGTCTACTGGTTTGGCACAGGAAAATTTGAATTTTGGATTCATCTTTTTGGAGATCTCACCCTAGTTTCCCATGAAGGGCATTGGATCAGTGTTCCAAAATGCATCCACCAGTACGGAAAAGTTTTTCTCAATATATGCTTGGTTTCCTTCATTGTGTGGGTGATCCATATGGGAGTATGGGTATTATCGTTAAAAGAGAGTAACTCCTAGAAAATGACTATAAATCTTTGCAATTCAGAATCTAGAACATGATTTTCCAAGAACTTTCGTGAGCATTAAATCACGTTTCCACTTTCAAATATAGTAAGAATATTCAGCATGATAAACTGACATATGGCCAGAATCTCTCCCCTCTCCCCCCCCCCCCCGCCAAAGCAGGAGGTGGTTGGAAATGGCAAACTCCGCCCATGTAGGTTTCCGCCCAGGCACCTTAACTGTATTATCCACATATGTAAGTATACTCATGAGTTGTAATATGCTTTAGTTACTAGGGGACATCAATAGTATGCAAATGTCATTTTCTTAACTCCACTTTTGGACATCTTATTAGCCCACAATTATCGAAATATTCCTTTTACTCAAAAATTTCAAAATCTCGAATTAACATAAAATGGAAACATAGTGTACAATCACAATTCTTATTAGTAAGACTTTCCCACTAGTTTATTTTTTTAGAGCAATCGGTCATCGATCAGCCACGGATATTCCCGAATGGACAAAGATAATCTTTATGGTGTTTTTGCCTTGATAAACTAACAAATTCCAGCCGTTTGTCTCTTAGCTTACTAGTACCAGCTATCTGGTACTAGTAAGCTAAGAGCTTAGCTAGCTTAGCTTACTAGTACCAGCTTGCAGGACACTGTCATGACACATGGCTGTTAGTAATCCGTCACCTCTTGATTGAGGAACACAATTTCCTTCACTTAGATCTATTAGTAGATAAAGGCGTGGTTGTCAACAAACTGCCATCTGAGAACGTAATCAAGCGAGTAAATCATGGAGTTCCTTATTAACCTCTACTCTGTCATCAATGAGAAGATGATATTGCGGTGTGAGTAAGCGATTTATAGATTTCTATTTTCTACGTGTGGATTAGGTTCAGAGGAAATTACGATAAGCAGAATTAGATTTAGGTGAAGGGGGAGAATAACTCGAACTCGAAATACTTGTATAACCAGTCTTAGACAAGATCCTATAATTATTGTACTCAACCCAACGAGGACTAACAGGTTTTGTCACCTATGAGCAACAATGGATGACGTGTGTCCAACAGCTGAGCTCAGCTAAATTGAATTCATACTTAACTTTAAAAATTCGCTTTATAGAAAAAACTGTGCAAATCCTCTTTTTTGAGAACAATTTTTGAGGCAAGAATGCATATGTATTGCGAGCAATAATAACTGTTGTTAAAAGCATTATGAAATATTTTTTTCACTGGAGCATAAATTTTTAGCGGCATAATACCACATACAAAATTCCCCATGATTTAGGAAAGCAAGGCAACACCATTGAGAAAAATTTTATAGAAATTCAACGTTTGAGGAAGGATAAAGCGCTGAAGAGCAGTTAAGTGGAGTAGAACAGGTCGGCAAACAATGGTTTTTCCCAGTACAAATCCAGATTTCTAGTTTGTATAACTCTTTTTTAATAAACCAGTGTGAAATGGTGACCACTCTAGTGACATGAATTCTCTTTTAGCAACGCTCTATTTACTTTATATTTCATAGATGTCAAGGACGAGCAGGAATATAGATTTAGAGGTAAAAAAAAATCTTGGAACAAATATTGGATTTCAAGTAGCACAGAGGAAAAAGGCATGAGTGATATTTTAAGCTTTTGAAAAAAGCGTAATTTCTTGCTGAAAGCTGTAAGAAAATCGTGTTTGAAAGCTTAGATTCTGAATACAAATACATGTATATATGTCAGGTGTACACAAGGTCCTCCTTTAGTCGAATACTTTATTGTTAATTTAACATAATATAAGCATTACCCTTAGCATTACCCTTAGTATACGAAGTAAATATGATAGTAAGACACCTGCATTATTCTGTTTATTTAGCTATTTTTTCTGTACGTTCGGTAATAGCACAAGCCAGAAACTGTTAAGCTCTGCTGCCGAATGTCCTTCAGGTGTGGCATGATGTTTGCGCAGCATTTGCATCCCATCATCCAAACACGAACACCTTTTTCTGTGTTCAATGTTTGACGTGTTAATAGAGGATTATATCCGAACATGAATGCATGAGATCCCTACTCAGTGGCATAACAGAGCAGAATGGCAAGTCACTAGCTTTTTCGCACAGTCTTGAAGGAGGCTCCGTATGCCGAGAACATCCTTGTAATTATTTTGTTCGATCACGGAGTGCTTGATTCGCTGAAGAAACCGAATTGAAGTCTGTTTTCCGATTCTCTTCATTAAATAAAACTTCACTGCCATTGTAAGCTGAATCTATGCCTTCTTGGCCACTTGTTCCATTTGTGATCGTTGGTTACTAGGGGTAGATAAGAAATAAAACTGTTAAACCACGAACTTGTTCCTTTATGAAAACCAAGAAATTACTGATGCAGGATAAACTCTAGACCTCGAATCTGCAAGATTCTGGTCTCAGTCTTACAGTCTGATGTCAGAGCTACTCGAACTAAACTTAGTCTATTCAAATAATACAAGGGCTTATTTAGCTGGAATCTGTCGTCTACAGCTCTAAAATCTCTTCGATTACCAGCTTCCGCATAAGATCATTGTAGAGGTTATCATGAAATTAAAATATCAATCCTGACCTGATCGCCAAGATAATAGCGAAAGGGGGTAAAGCTAAGCAACACGCTATTTTGACAGACAACAACACAAAAATTTGAAGTTTTCTTAGTCAACATTTCGTTTTTGACGGTGTTTTTACGTGGGCTTAGGGTCAAAGAGGACTTCGTAAAAATTCGCGAAAGTCAAGGCGGACTTTTTTTGCATTTTCAAAAAGCCACCACGTGCCCAGTTCTAATCCTATCACTGGATATTTGAATAAACGGCTGTTTGCTCAAGAACTTGTGAAAGATTCAAAGGATGTATATCTCTTTTTTTGCAATTTTGTGTTCCATATGACAATCCTGCTACTAGGATCACTGCTACATAAACTTAGCCAATGTTTTTTGTGCCTGCAAAGAACATAGATGCAAATAGAATTACTTTAGAACGGAGGGAGTTAGCGCATGCATCCACGTATGCAAGCGGTCGTCAACGGTCGTTGAATCAGAATTTAGGATATTACACATCCTCACGTACTAGCTTTTGATAATTTTCCCGCTGATTTCGCTAAATTTGCCGACTGTAGCGATTTGGGCTTGTGCAAGAATAGCCATGCTTCAGGTTAGTGTGCCCATGGGTTGTAAAAGATCTCACCAAATCTGGAAGTTGTTTCAAACCAAAAACTAACATTAGTCTCCTCTTCTCCTTATAATTCTTTTTCTGTTCTGTTCCTGTAGCCAAGTTTGTTTTTATCTCTCAACTAAAATCATTCAACCTTTCTGCTCTCCCATAGATACTTTCTAAGTGGTTGATTCTTGAATTCACGTGATGTAGCTGAATTCAATTTTTGAGCTGTGTTGGGTAGATAGTAGAAGTTTATCTGCTTTCAAAATTGAAAACTCACAAAACATGGTTAAGAAACCGTTAGCACTAGCCTTGAAATCATGTACATGGAATTTCGGATAGATCGTGTTACTCGACTGAATCAGAAGACTATGCGTAACAGTGGAGACAAACCTCCAAGATTTGTTACTTGTTGAATATCGTGATGCATTTAGAATTTCTAGAACGGGTTGCGTTCCATACACTGAGGACAAAAGCGGAATTTTTGATTGTTTCACAAGTGTGCAATTCTTTGTTCGTGAATCATATTGGTGGCGACCTCTTAATTGTGTCAGAATTCTTCACTCGTCAATGTTTGATTTCAAAAAGATTCAAATGAATGACGTGCATTTGCAAACCAAGCAACAGAAGCCTTTCACACTTTGAACTCAAGAAGAAAATGGTAAAACATCTACTATCGGACTCTGAGAAAGGGATGGTGAACTCAGTACGCATAAACGTCTTAATTCCACAATGCTACAGTAATTCTCACCTTGACAACTGTTAGATTTGATATCGTCAAGGGTGCTTAAGCGATGCAGGATGCAAATACTCAGAGTGTCTCTTGAATGTTTGTGTACAGATATTTGAACCAAATAAAACAAGCATAATTTTTTACATTGAGAAGATGATCAAGGAATTACTACCTGTTCGCAATTGCTCATTCACCACGATTTTGAGGAAACTCGCGATAATAATCATATTGTTAAGCTGACAAAAGATATTTTTACTTTGACAATATGTTTATCCCTAGCTTGGATAACGTAAATTACGGCAAGTGTTGATTTTTCTTAAATTTGCTTAAAATGCAATAACTGCTTGCTCAAGACGACGAAATTCTCTCGTTGTTTTCGAGAAACATTAGCAATTGCCAAAAATGTTTCTTCAAGGCCCCTGGAAGTTTTGTCTGCACGAATTCATTCACTATAAACAAGCAGAAGTGAAAACGCTACTTAAGGACCAGCTTTTCGTTTGTCAGCATCCAGCCTCACCGGTCAATTAAAAAATTCTTCCTTTCGAGTTCTTTACCAAAGCTTTATAATCTAATTTTAAAATTTGCAGATGATTACCATCTTCGCAGCTCTTGCACTTCTTGGAGCAGCTGTAGCCTACCACTTACCGGTCTATCCACCACCGAGACATAATGGGTTAGTTAGCTTCGATATTCATCAAAAATCCCATAGCGATGGAACTTATAGCGAGCTCGTGGCGAACGTGAAGGGTGGTCGTAGTCACGGACCATTCCTGGATGTCTTCCATGGACATCGCCGCCGATATCTTCCACCTGGTATGGATTTCTTTACTACTTGTGAGTGAATTTTCAATAATGACACTATTCAAGGCTATTACGGCTGGCCGTACGGTTATCCGCCAAATATCGTTTCGAACCCATTCTACGTACAGCGTCGCCACAGAAGACGTCATCACGACAGCGATAGTCGCCGTCGCAGTGACAGTCGCGATCGCGATTACGACAGAAGGCATAGAAGAAGTCGTGACAGCAGCGACAGCCGAGATTACTGGTGATTTGCAATTCTCAGCAATAAAAGCCTGAAGCTCTACCGTATTTTCTCTCCACTACTCATGTACAACACATCTAAAACCTAAAGCACTGCACATACATGCGGAACTTGTACATGCTGTGTTACAGCTCCAAGCTTTAGCTAAGAGTATTTTTTCTCAATCTTTCTAACTCACGGAAACAAAGCAAGATTGATTCGGACAAATTCTTAGTTTGCTTCTATACAGTATCGGCCACTCGGCCTTTTTGAATCACCTCAAAAAAAAACAATGGGTTAGTATGACCAATATTTTCCAACAGGTAGAGAAGTATATGCCACCCTAATGCCAGCCTAAGCTGGACATCTCTTTCATATAATTCACAAAGCGTCGCAATAATCGCTTAATCCAACGATTTGCCAAAAAGTAGCGATCGGTTTTTAGTCTCTTCAGCTCTTCGCTGAAATCCGAAATATTAGGTTGCTAAGAAAATAATGTAACCTTCTATTTGCTTGCTATGGTTGCCGGACAGGCATTGCTCTGAAACAGCCTTTATAGCCTTCTCCGGCTAATTTGAAAAATATCAAATTTAGCTCCCTTCTGGGTCTGCTAAAATTGAGATTTCTCGAAGACTGGTGTTCGAGAAAGGCTGAAAACTTACAGTCATACTTATAAAGGCTTGTAGTATAGAAATAAATATGTTTGGCCAAACACTGCATTGAGAGAAAGAGAAAACAGCAACTGTATATATATATATATCCGATGTCGTTAGTATAGATGTCAGTGAGTGGGAAATGCGTAGAAAGTTTTCGCACGAAGATGGATTTTTTTCGATTTTCTGGGCAATTAGGACCTTCTAGATTTGTTTTCTAACTTTACTTGGAACAAACTTGGCGCGGGGGCATTGACACCGGTCAGCTTGCTTTGCTCTATCGAACGGTTTGGTTGCTGCTTTTGGTTATACATAGTTTATGGTTTTTTGGGGTTTGCCTGGTTTGTGATGCCTAGAATGCAGATAAAAAGTGTAGTAGTACTGATGCAGCAATTGTAGGAAATACTCAAGCCGGCCGATGCCCCAATTGTAGTTGAGGTCAAAGGCAAGAAGGATATGTAGAACAATAAACTTTGAATACCAAGAAACTTGAATTACTTGAACTGTGCCACGAGGGCTGATGCCGTTGCAATGTACCTTGACTCAAACTTGGGTAACTAAACCTTTATTGATACTGAAACTACTGTACAAGATAAGATACCAGCTTTGTTAAAGTGTGAAAATAGGTGAGCATGTACAATATATACGAAATATAACTGAACTTCAATAAATAAAGAGAACTGATACTTGTTTGACTGCTACTCACCATACTTGTCTAAATACTAGCCTTTCTTCTACTTGCTTGAAACTTAGCAAAAAAAAAAAAGAATGCGATATTGCCATTTTGGCCACTGATATACAGAAATCTAGATGAAGCCATGAGACAAGAAAGAAATGTAAAACATTTGAAGCAAGAGAAGTGATGAAGCAGCATGGCTGCGCTCAATGATTCCTCGAACTTATCTCGGTTATCATCTTTTCGATGCTGAGGAACTGGCGCGCAAAGCATACTTTCTAAAATAAGCATAACCACAAAACAAGACTTTAGCTCAATAATTACTTGTATATTGTGAAGTAATCCTACTTATTGTGAGACATTATTTTCTTGACAATCTAACAGATGAAGAGTGTGCCCATTCGAACATCGCCCAACCGGCGCTCAGACGGGAACCCTTGAACTAAAGAAAGATGAAGTCCCGAAGGGTTACGATAGCCGCTCTTAAGCCGACTTCAAGCAACTGAATGAAGTTTGGCAACTTATGTACTCTTTCTTAATTTTCACTTTCCGAACAACCATGGATTACGGAAATCGAGTTTGCTGAAGGAGTTCACATCTTTAAAGGAAGGCATGATAAATTAAAAAAGCTTTATTGTTTTTAATAATTGACAACGCAAATGAGTGTTATTCACCGAGATAAAAACGCAAATAGAATTCGGGTTACCAAACATCGGAAGATCATGACAAACGAGCTACCGTTTTGATGGTGATATTGTATGTAATAGAGCAGACAAACAGAAACATCAAACGAACGGACGCTATTGCAAACGACTCAATGCTTACTATGAACTAACGATTTGGAAGTTCAAATGAACAAGTAGTAAATTAGAGAGAACATAGCAAAAAGATTATTTCATCGATATTTCCAAATTTGGCCAGAAACTCTGCCAAATTGTTGACTTGTCCGCTCAATTCCGTAAACAGATCCTTTCTCGGACAATTTAATTCGTTGTGAAATGAGAGAAACACAAGGGACGGTCACGATGACAAAGTGGCCGATGACCACAAACTGCATACCTTTAGTGAGAGCTTGAAGCGCTGGTTCAAATTCTGTTTTTCCAATTTCCAGAGCTCTTCTGTAAACGGATTTATAAGCATTTTTGAGGCGAAAATTAACAAATTTTTGGAATAAGAATCACCCACAACAGCTTCTCTAAACCTTCAATGAAGCAGCGGCAAGTGTCAGGATACTTCATACAATGAATTTATTCTGCCTAGTAAACCAATACTTTCTAATGCTCCAGCTGGCCTCTACAAAGGCCGCCGTAAACTGATATTATCCCGAAATTGGTTCATTTTTTCGTCTCAAAAATTGCTCGTAACTTCTTTCTTAGAAAACTCTGCAACCAGGAAAAGCATAAATGAAATCAGCGTTTCAAGCTGCTCTCACTAATAGTATGCAGTTTGTGGTGATCGGCCACCTCGTCCTGACCTTTTCTTGTTAGCTTAGTTGACGGGAAGCCCCTCACTAGTTTCCAAAATTTGCTTCTGCCGCTAATCAGTGACTCCGATTTTGAAAGACTAACCATAACGACATTGATACACTCTTTAAAAGTTTCAGCTACGAATCATTTCTCTGAAAAAAAGCAATGAATATTAAGCACTTCGCCAAAAACTGTTAGCTTATCTTATTTTTGACATCAGAGGGATGTACAGGTTACCCTGGTAGCCTGATTCGTTTCCACTCTATTTCAGCATACTCCTTGTAAAAAGGAAACCGGAGTCACAGAATCCAAAAACTCGACAGATGAGGTCAAACCAGTGAAATAAATACGACATCCGTTCGCTGTTGTTCTTTTTTGGTCACAAAAATTGAAAAATTGTCACAATAGATTACCGCAGCAATTCGAAAAAGAAGGCAATTACCAGAACAGTAACAATACTTGACAAAGATGCCAATGATGAAATAAGGCGTGCATCTCGCCATTCATCCCAAGCCAGCCGATCCTGGTTAGGAGATGTTGGTTCAAGTCGATCACACTGGATTTTACATAGAGCATCGAGACGTAGGCGTTCACAAAGGCAACGGGTCACTAGTGACTAAACATTTTGAGTTTTTGTAAAGAAAAATATGAAGAGATTGAGGAGAAAATTTGTGAGGACTTACATGATAACAGTGCGCATGATGCAGCGTGTACATTTCCGAAAGTGTCGATCGAACTACCAAGCATTCCCTCTCCTTGTCCGTTTCAGAATAGAGCAACAATTTTTTTGACGTGTCCAGTTTGATTCTTGAAAATAATCAGATACTTCGAAGGGAAAAGCTGGGGTCTGTATTTAATTTGAAGTATCTATGAATTGCTATAATAATAATAATTATAAATATAAATATAATCTCTGTTACTCGAGCAGCAAAAAGAAGAGAAATAAACCCTGCACATCGGATCCCGCCTACGGCGCCTTGTGGGTAGCAAGAACGATGTCAGGGTACTCAGGAAGCCTTTCGAATCTGACAAAAACGACACGCCTGCCCGGATGACACGCCATGGAGACTACCTCATGCTCTGGACCCAAAACGCTAGAACAATACTCGACGCTGCAGAACATCAGTTCCACGTCATCGCTTTGCAGGAATTGAAATCCAGGAAGAAAGGCTGTGACAGATGAGTGATGGGACCCCATCATTCGTGGTGAGAAGGTTCCATCAGGAAACGTGGGAGGAGTTGGCTTTGTCGTCCACCCATCAATAGTCCATATTGTCGATTTGGACGAGATCCTATCACCCGACTAGCTATCCTACGACTACTACTACCTCCACATCGGAAGACCATCAGCATCATCAAGTGCTACCAACATCAGCAGCTGACGATCCAGAACTAGATGCTTTCTACGAAGACGTGGAGCAGCTCGTCCGCAACGAGAAGTCCTTCTGCAAGTTCGTTGTGGGCGATTTCAACGCGAAGATCGGAATGCCACTAGAAGAGGAATGTAGGATCGGGGAAGTTTGGATATGGGCTCCGGAACGAAAACGGCAACAGTCTCGCGGACTTCTTTCCGCCGCATGACTTTTCCATGGAAATTCCATCTTCACGAAGAAAGAACATCGCCGGTGGACTTGGAAATCGCCCAACGGAACGACTCACATTAATCACATTCTAAAGAACGAACCACATTCTCACTGAAGGTGGAGCTTGCTTGATGTATGTCTCAGTAGTTCCATCCTTCTGCAGTGGCTCCAATCACCGCCTCCTTCGAGCGAAGGTACGATTCACTCGAAAATGGAAAAGAAGACCGGCCACAGTGCTGCAAGAAGGAAAGAAGTTGTTTATGGCGGTAAGGTTAGAAGAGCTCATATCAAGTTGTGACTGGGCCATCGGGAAGGAGTTAAAGTACGATTACGATCGGCTTTTGAAAGGATTGCGAGCCTGCGGAGAGTGCGCCTCGATGACTTCCGAGAAGAACTTGGAACACATTTCGAAGACTAAGGAATTGCTTGAAAGAGGAAGATTTCTGAGGCAGGATCCGAGCGCCCATCTCGAGCGGCTTACAGCCAACACAAGTTGCAGAACAGCTTTGCAGAAGGATCTCAGGAAGTACAGGCAAGCCAAGATACTGGAAGCAGCCTAAGAAAGACGAAGTCTTAAGAAGTGCCGAAGGGACCTCTGCGAATGTCATGTACGCTGGCTGCACTACTGAACGAAGACGGAACTCCGACTTCTTCCCGATACAAGATGGAAAAAATCGCAAAGAACTTCTAAACCAACCTCCGCTATCAACACCGTGCCGATGCCCGTTGTTCCCACTGGAGAAGTACCACCAAGAATTCTACCTGCTGAAGTGCGTATTGCGATACAGACCATGAAGACGTCTACGGCTCCAGGAATAGATCATCTTTTCGTCGAACTTCTGCGAGCCGGAGGACACCATCTACACGAGGTTCTAGCATCGCATTTGACATTTAACATCCTGCCTTCAGAAGGAGAAGATTCCCGACCAGTGGTGAACACCAACAACTGTCCTTCTCTTCAAGAAGGACAACGGAAGAGTTTTTCGGAACTACCGTCTATGACTGCTGAGCGTGCTCTACAAACTTCTCACGAAGATTATCCTCGCTCGCGTACCTAGAACTCTGGATGAAGCTCATCTCCAAGAATAAGCTGGATTCCGCAAGAAATTCAGCTGCATGGATCACATCCAGACGTTTCGAGGGTCATAGAAGTCTGGCGGGAATGGCAACTGCTTCTCGTCATAACCTTCGTCAACTACGAGAAAGCCTTTGACAGCGTATAAACCCACGCCGTCCTGTCAGCACTAGTCGATAAGGAGTGGACCAGCTCACATGAGGTCATTAGCCGACTGCTACAAGAGCTGTACAACGATCACGCAGCTATTCCTTCGCTCCTGACCATCCCATTTGGAAAGCGGGTTTGAGGGGGCAATACAACTCGCCGGTGCTGTTCACCGCGGCCTTGCAGTGGGTGATGAAGTCAGTAGACTGGGACGAGAGAGGCATACGAGTTGATGGGAGATTCCTATCGAACCTTCGTTTTGCGGACGACATCGTTCTCTTCTCAAGCAGTATCCCTGGATCAGAGACGATGCTGAAGGAACTAAACGAAGTAGGGAAGATCGGATTGCGATTAAATCGGAATATCATTTTCGTTTACATTTTAGTATCATTTTCATTCTTCATTTTTCATTGAAATGAATGAAAATGAAAATGGAAGATCGGATTGCGATTAAATCGGAAGAAGCCTCCATGAAGAACGCCCTTTGCGAAGATACGGAAATGGAACTGGAAGGAGCTCTCATCATGGAGACGTCTTTTTGCGTGTATCTCGGACGTTCGATGAACATGGAGAACGACTTGAGGGAAGAATTTAACAGGAGAAGAAGATCAGCCTGGGCCGCCTTCGGGCCTCTGAAGGAAGCCACCGACCAACTGGCGGACCCGGAGCTTCGTACCCACCTGTTCAACTCAACTGTTCTCCAGACGCTCTGTCACACAGCTGAGACTTGGGCCGACACTGTAGCCACGTCAAGCGCTAGAGCGCAGTCTTCTGAAGATGACCCGACACAAGCGGCATTAAGTCGGACTTTGCAGTACGGATATTATAAGAATGTCCCGTCTACGTGACCCAGCGGAAGACGTTGCGAAAACGAAACACCGGTAGGCCGTCACATCATGAGCAGAGACGACAAATGGACACTGAGAACATCTGAGTGGACTCCTCGCGAAGCCAAGCGTCCCCGAGGAAGACCTCCAACGAGATGGGTAGACGTGTTCGTGGAAGGATGGACCTGCTGAGAAATCAGCTAGATACGACTATCGCACCTGGAACTCGTGGACGCAGCCACCGACGGCAACTAAAGATCGTGGATGTCTAAAGCGAGGGACAGGGACTAATGGAGTTTTGTGCCCAGGCCCGCACGCCACGTGAGGAAGGGCCGTCTAAGTGTCTATGTACGAATTTCAGTCCATTATATAATACGGAAGTTTTGCCGCGCATTTTTTTACGATTCACGATGACTCGATAATGTTCATATTCAATGAGCTGCAGTCAGTAACCGCGACTAGCTGCAGATGCTAAGGTTAACTTTCTGTACAGGGCCTGGCAAAGGGTTACATTGAACTCAGAAACATTATTTTCAATAATATAAATTTGTTTGTCATTTTCGTACTCTATCACAGTACACAGTCGAAGTACCACATCCTGCTTCCAGGATAAGTCATCACTAGATCCAAAATTATTATGTAATTTTAGTGACAAAGGTATACCGACATGGCCAAAGTCTAGGCAGCGAATCATTTTGATTATGAAGTCTCCCATTTGTCTTGACCTCAAAGGCAATGTCCGGGCAAAAACTCAATTTTGAGATTTTGTGCTTACTTGGGCCTATTCGCTACGCTGAATCCGAAAATGCACATTGTAGAGCGCGAAAATGGCGAAAAACGGCTTTAACACAGGAGGGAAATGAGCAGGTGGGCGGGGTCCTCCCCACTGCGAATTCACGTTCCCGGCTTCCGGAGCGATCTTCTCGCTTCCGGTTTCAAGTCAATCATTCGGACTTGGCCGGTAGCGATGTTAGAACGGCTAGCGGAATCGAGAAAATCGCTCCGGGAGCTGGGAGCGTGAAATCGCACTGGGGAAAGCCCACCTGCTGACTTCCCTCCTATATTAGAGCCCTTTTTCGCCATTTTCGCGCTTTCCAATGTGGATTTTCGGATTCAGCATGGCGAATAGGCCCGTATAAGCACAAAATCTCAAAATCGAGTTTTTGCCCGGACACTGCCTTTAAGTTATAGATTGGGAGGGCAAGGACTATAAACTAGCAATCGTTCCACAACTATTAAAATAAATGGTCTATACATGAACAATTACTTTTATCTACCAATTGCATATTCTGACAAGTACAGAAACAATGATCATCATTGATAGGTTGGGAATCGGAGTAGGCAGAGTAAATGGGTTACCTTCAACAACAACTTTTCCGCCTTTTCGGATCTAGGGTCACTGAACCCTCTAATGTCAAAACCAGTCCCCTTTCCCCCCCCCCCCCCCCTCTTTCAAAATAAACGTAATTGGACATATCGTTATTGATCAACATGGAAGCTTTTCATGTCTGACAAAGCTGTCATATACTATTACTGTTTACTCAAGCCAAGAATAAGTAATACTGTAGGTTAGCACTTACCGTAGCAATCTGTGTCTGTCAAACTGTGGATATCCAGCTCGTGGCTTCATTCGCTCTTCACATTGTGCCATTATATTATGTACGTGTTCACTGGAGCAGTTCTTGCTTCGGCTCAGTGCGCACTGAGTTTGAAGGTAACCCAATGTGGATACCAGTTGCAATCGCGATGGCGCTTCATCGGGACCCGTTCCAATCAGCGGTGTGGTCTGTAAAGAGTAAAGTCAGAATAAAGACAGTTTTCCGTAGCCTTACTGTAGGCTGCAACAGAGCAGGGATTCCACTGCAGGACTCAAAGGCAGTGTCTCACCAAAGTTGACGTCGCGCGGATCTTTACATATTCTATTATAGGGACCTCTAAATAGGCCATTGCAACAAGTCCCACTCAATTTGACTACTTCCACTCTGAGAATTCGCTCAAAGTGGTACGCGGAGAGCGATTTGATACGCGCGGACGACTCCTTCGGTCTCTTCCCTTACGCGTTTGAACATGTCCCTTCACTTGGCACCGACCTCCCTCTGTTGCTGCCACTGTAGCTGAGGCTGAAGTTGGAAGGTATAACTCGTCCACGTTGCTTCCGCGGGGCCTCCAGAAAACGGATTTTTTGGGAAGTGCTATTTTTAAGCCCATACAGTGCTTGACAGGGTCCGACAGGCTTGCAAAATGCAAAAATCTCGGCAACTAAATTTTGGTGAGACACTGCCTTTAAACGAACGTGTAATCCCGTCTGTTGCGCCGCCTATAGCAAGGCGACCCTGCAGAAAAAACTGCTGTCCAAACGTTCACAATTTTGAGTTGACGAAATAAATAAATAAAAAATTGTCCTACCCCTTCAGATGAGCTGCGTGATCTTCTGTAGTCACATCGAGCCAATGCTACCCTGTATCCTGCAGCTCCTGCACTACTTACAGCGTTAGCATCACATTTTCCAACCCGGCGTTCGAAACATTCGTCTAACCACTGGAAAATTTGCATTCATTTTATTCTCTCGTTTTTTAGCTCAAAGCATATGCAATCATTTACAAGACAAGTAATATTGGCATTAAAAAAGAAAAATCATCGAGCTTTTGAAATATAAAAATTTGTAGCGTAAAATACTTGAAAAACCTTACCAGAAATCGAAAAATACCCTTAGAATAAAAAATAATAATAGGAAAAATAATCTAGAAATTTTTCAATATATAAAAAATAACAAGTCCATGAAATGGTCTAATCCTTCCGAAAGCTTTGTTTTTCATACAAGTTCGATTAGATACAGATCTTGCAGCCTTGCAGTATCAGCCAGAAAAAAAAGATCCAAAATTCGATATTTTTAATGATTCTACAGATGTGCTCAAAAATAAAGAAAAACTGATATTGCAGAATTGTAATGTTTTATCTCCACTCCTGTTCAACTTCCCTTTTCCATAAGTCCCCTTACCAAAATGTCAATAATGACTTTTCCGAATGCTACGTCTTTTGCAGAGTGAACATTCACGAAATCGACTTTCTTTGCGGGTGATAAACATCTTATACTCAAGGAGTAAGACCATTTGCAAAGATGGAGAGCGGTAAAATTAAATTACACTTTTTTCTATAAAAAGGGCAGTTTCCAGTTTATAGGCTTTTCGGAAAGCAGGAAGCACAAAACTCTTTCTGTACAAACATAAAGCGAGAAAAATTGTGAGACTTTTTTGAGTTTGATTTTTTTGTTACTTGTAAGCATAAAGTTAAGGGTAGAAGTCGTATATAAATTATCAACATTGATGAAATGTGTTACCGTATAATGCACACATTTGAACGCCAAATGTTTTTCAGTACACACTTCTCCCATCATTTCGAAAAGCTCTGCAAAGCACGAGGTTCCAGAAGTCGCGTTGCAGACAGATTGTCTGAAAGTCAAAAATATGAAGTGCTGTTTGAGACCAGCACACCAGAAAGAAAATATAATAACACCAACTTTCACCAGAAGTTGAAACAAAGATATTCGAATTTTACATGCACGTCCATTGAAAAGTAATTTTAGTACATAATCTCGATAATTTCCTGTTGTCGACATTCACTAGGAGAGGATCGAATGCAAACAAATTTTTTTATCACATTGGTTAAGCGCTTATAGCCCGTTCAGATAAAATGCCAAAAAATTTTGAAAAATGTACCTCCTCCGAATCAAAGGAATTTCTTTGACGTGACATAACCTTTGCATTTTAGTTTGAAATTCGACAATTGGTTAGTTCAGTATTCTATCTGAAATTTGAATTTCGTTGAAACGTTATGAAGTTGTCGATTTCGCCGCAAATTTGTCTATGAGGCAAAAAGCTGCAATTCGTTCCTTTTGCATGTTGAACTTGAAAGAGTGGGGGAGGGGGGAACGTATTAGGTCCATAAGCCTCGCACCGAAAAGGAGAAAAAATCGTTTTGAAGTGTTCCGAAATAACTCCGAAATCTATATTTTACACGCCTAGTAAATGCTGCATAATCTCAAACTTAATGATTTCTATTCAAACCAAATGCAAAAGGCCGAGTAAAAATTAATTTGCAGAGAATTCGAGCAGCGCATCAGAAGCAGAGGGATTAAGCTATAACAACAGGGAAAATGAACTCGGAAGATATTGACCTTATGTCACTGATAGAGTTTGAAACTTACAAGATTAATCTAAGAGCATTTCTTTATGATTTTGTGCCCCTAGCTATGCTGATACTGGACTTTATTCAACCATTAGTAGAAACTCTTTCTGAGGTCCATTTTTTTCAAATGAAATCTTTGAAATGGGAGTTATTTTTCCACTTTTAAATACTACATTTCGCACGCCATTCTCTAGGACATTGTGTACACACAATAGAACGAAAGCGAAAAACTTTCCAACAAATTATTTTACAGTCATTATTTGAGGATAAGTGAAAGCACTTACGGTGGCACGTACGATCGTACGATAAATGCGTTGTTAGAAAGTATGAAGTGGTTGAGTGTGGTCACAAACAGCAGGACGCGCATTCAGCCAGCATTAGCGTAGCTGCTGGCGTTTAGCGATACACTTCTGAAGTATGAAAACTTATAAAATGAAGAAGAGGAGAAACTGTAGGAAAGATGAACAGCGTATATTGCGACGATTTTGACAAAGATCTGAGAAGATATAGTCGTTCTGTAAGGACTGGAGATGTATAAAGCAAGAAACACGAAAAACCCTGTAAAGGGCCGGGCATACTTCCGCGATTTCAGTCGCGATGCGATTTGGCAGTATTCCAAATGTCCATAACTCATTGTAAGCACATTTTAAATGTACAGAAGATAGGGCATTTTATCAGTCCACCAAATTATACACACTATGCATGTGCAGTTTGCTAGTGTTGGATCTGAAGACTTCCGGCGAATTGCCAAATCGCATCGCGACTGAAATCGCGTGAAGTATGCCCGGCCCTTAACGGTGAGGGTGGAAAGCGGTGAACTGGACTTATCGAGAGGAAATTTGAAAACCTCAAGTTTTTTACGGATCTCCAACATTTTAAGCATAAATTTTAATTTTCAAATTCTCTAAGGACACTCAAACGATAAGATTTATAGACCTTTCTGTCTCACTAGGCAATTTCGAGGAAGAGGTAAAAAAAATCTTTTACTTCGAAGGCTAGGAATGAAACGAGTTTTGTAATTCAGCACAAATTTGAAAATTTTTAATCGTGATTTAGTACATGACTTGGAATACCGATCAATATTTATAAGAATGAAAACTTTTTGGAGCCTGTAATAGGCATATTTGCGCCATTTGATCATTCGAGGAAAATATGTTTTATAAGAATCGCCATAAGAATCTCCATATCGCTGAGCGTTTTAACAATGGAAATTCGAAAACAGATATCGTTTTATAATCCCGGAAGTTTCTTCTAGCAAACAACATATAAAGTCAACCTAAAGAGTGAGAGGAGATTTGAAAGTGAGATAGTTGTGCACATACTTGAAAATGCTGACATTTTTATTCGACTTGGCCATATGTCGAACAAAATATGGTGAAAAGAACTCCTGAATGTAAGCAAACAAGAGGCATAAAACATTGAAACAAGATGAAACTGTATTTACATTTCAGATTTTAATTGAAGTTAAAATTCAAAACTTATTTGTTTTCCAGCTCATCAAACACAAATGCTCTAACTTTGAGATTGTTTACGATTAAATATACAAGTCTTGCAACTTTCAACAAAATCATTCATCTAAATATGCTATAAAAGAAAAGATTTATGCCCTCTGTACAGCACCGACAAAAAAAAGAACTAGAACTGCGCTATTTGAATTTGATATTCAGAAGGGCTAAATTTATAGTCTTAGTTTCATGAGCAATCCTCTCTAGTTAGGAGATATCTATGGTGTTTGAACGCTTTAAAAACTACTTATGTGATTCGAACTTTTCAAATTTGCTGTTTGTAGTGTTCCAAATTTTTGAACTTCTTCAAAAACAACTTTCATTTTTTGGTGCAAGGCTTATACACCAAACTCATAGTCCGTAAGTTTGAGATCTGATGTTCCATTCAGTAAAACTTGAGTTGCATTCGAAGGGTGTTATTAAAAGCTGGATTCTTCTTAACTTATAATCTGTATCAAAATGTAAACGAAAATGACATCATTTTTTATTCAATTTGGTTTCAGAGTGTCCCTCGTCGTCTTGAAATCGGCCACCCTTGAGTTGCTTCAATTGATGGCCTTACAAGCACACTTGAGCTGAGTTCCGAAATTGGAAAATATTTTCTAAATAAATTTACAAGGATTTTCTATTCATTCAACCTTCCACTACTAGCATATGCATACTCCGCGTAATCATAATCCCTTCAAGCATCGCCTCTTGTCAAATGGAATAAACCTATTGTTACTATAATAATTGTAAGTGTCACTACCAATCATGCTTTATGACATTTATGCAAAATAATGATTGCTAAGCTTTGAAGGTATGACATTCCTAGCTTAATCGAAAACAGTTGGGACACCGTCAGTACAAGATACGCTTTTAGCGTAAATACAATGAAAGTTAAGATAATTACTCGGTTTTACCAGAAAATGGCATTCAACTTGGAGAATTCCGCATGAAAAGTTTTTTCTTAAGTTTGGGTGCGAAAAGTGATGAACAAGATAGAGTGTATTGTTGATAAAAGAATGATCCAAATTTAGAAGAGATACGTGGAATGAAAAAAGCAATGCTTTTCAGAAAAACGGAGAAGATAATGGAAATATGCAACATGCTCAAAATTTCGAATCATATAAGAAATAAATAGAAGCAGTTGAGCCCTGGGGATGTGTACAACTTACAATGGCAAGGGAATCCATGTGCTTAAAGCCATACAATGAGATCTCAAGTGAGAGTAAATCCGCTGATCGATTGTTTTCTCACAAAAGCGCAAAAATCTTATTCGTATAGAATATCGAATCATTCTCTATTCAAAATTAAGGCAAAGCAATAAGGATTATCCGTAGCTTATGGGAGATAGAGAGGCGTTTAGAATTCAAGAAAGAAAAATTACATTTTTCCACTTAGGATACAGCTATGGAGCGAATAGCTGCAGAGGTTTTATTACGTCCTTTAAATACTAGATTTGAAACAAATCTTTAGAAACAGCTAGTTGCTGGTGCTTGCATACTAAACACGCGTGTGAACTAATGTGGGAAGAGCAAGCTGAGGGATTTGTTTCTTACGCTGTCCACGATTACATGATATCCATAGCAATCTATCCATATTGCTAATGAAACTCCTAGATCGATCTTACTCGCGGTCTCAGTGAGACTTACAAGTCTCAAGCCATACTGCAAATCTGCACAATTATTTTTAAAACTGCTCTGAGAGATCTTTACGACCACGCTACTTATGCATAATCAAATACATCTATCGTAATCTTCGCTTTGACCGTATAGCTCTCTTTTTCATTCGCTACACATCTCACCCTTCTAGTTTTAGAGTTACTTTATCCCAGAAAACATAGTTTACGTATTGGTCAGCTCTTTTAGCTGCTATAGATCAACTATTTTGATAAAAATTTGGTACTGAGCTTTCGAAACAGCACTCGGCACAGCTGGCGCTGGGTCAAGCTGGAAATTGTTTTTGGGACAAAAAGCAAAGGGGATATCGTATTTGTGACGGAAAAGACACAAAAATTGCGGCGTTTTTCTAGTGGATGTTTCGTTTTTTAGGCTTTATATGTTTAGCGTTTAGAGTCAAGGGGGACTTTGTGCTAAATTCTCAAGATCGAAGGGGGCTTCGATTTGAAAGTTCCCTAGTTTCAGCCCGTGCCGAGCCCTGTTTTGGAAAGAGCAGATAACGCATGCATGAATCAAATCCTTCTTCATTGATTTCATAATTAGGATTCATTACTTGTTATGTAAGAAAAGTATAATAATCTGGTCCATTGGTTGATTTTATTTATTATTTCATTATTTAATGTACAGGAATTTACCATTCAACCAACCAATTCAATGATAATTTATAGTAAATAAGAAACGTTAGCAGATTATCTATTTGATATATCTAGTTTTGTCCACATAGAAAAAAACCGCACTTTTAGCAGGAGCCAGCTACCAGATTTTTTATTTGAAAATGTTACTTGTAGGCTGAGCTCAACATCTAGTCCTAAAAAGAATAAAGTGATAGATAAACTTGAAAAGCAGATGGCCTAGAAAAAATCAGACTTAAGTAACTCAGCGACGATCTAACAAACGCATGCATCATCATGCATCATCTTGTAGATAAGCTGAAACATTCCTTGACTAGCGAATTGTTGCAAAAATCGGCAATGTTTCGTTTTTCACTTTTGATCAGCTTTCTGTGAACTTTTTATAGTTTTTTTTTGACTGTGAAGATCCAGCAGGTATTGTCATAAGCTTGTTTTTTTTTTCGCAATTTTTAGGCAACTTTCAGGCTCCATTTCTTCATATTATCAAATACTCAACTGGGTTTTACTGTAACACACTGCAGTTTCAGGATGTGCCCGACACTAAAGGATTTTTCCAATGATAATGATAATTCATGGATTTTGACTTTTTTTTTGCTAATAGAAACGGTCTTCTGCAGCAAATAAAATGCAGTTCTTAAGTAAATTTTTCTACACTTCTATTTGTCCCATTGTAACACCGAACAGATAGAGACGAATTTTTGGTCCTTAGCAATAGCTTTCTTTCTAGCAAAACGCAGTTTTAGGAGATGTTTGGAGCACAACTGGAAAGTAAACAACCTATTCTTTTACTCACATAGGTCATTAAAGATTCTTATTCTAAGAAGAAATGAAAAGAAAATTCAAAAAAGGCTTTTAAAATGGAAGGCGACAAATGCAATATTTGTGTAGCACATATGTTAATTTGGTGAAAATAAAGTATCACTCATTCAGCAATCTCTACTTTCGCCGGATGACTAGCGGAATAGGTAATTTTGCTGAAGTACCTGGATAAAAATTAATTGAGCTTCGCAAAATGGTACGAGTAGAGGAGAGCAGAGAGTAAGATGTTCAAGGCTCAAAAAATAGCATAGTTCATGTGAATGTTACAACCTCCTTAGCAGGAAAAATTTTAGAATGACATATTCCTCACAGAGAACAACAGCTTAGAATGAACAATTTTTTTCAATCTCAAAAAATTAGTCTGTCGCATTTGCCCACGCATACGCAAATACGCGTTCATGGTATGCAGCCTAAACACTCAGGCATTTGCAGTTCTCCAATTTTGGAAAGGGACAATCTGTAGAAAAGTAAACATTGGTAATCTTCCTCTTTCCTGATTTTCACATTACGGGATAGAACTTCTAGAAAAAGGCGTAAGCGTAAGGATCTTTGATTTCGACTATAAGTAAATCGCCAATAACTAGCCGTAATATCAGAGACCACATCAGATGTAAATCCCAATATTGTTTACATCGAAATGCTTGTTGGGGACAATGTAAGGATTCGATTACTTCATCGCAAAGGGGAAAGCACAAAGGAGTTGTGCGAAGTTAAGTAGTAGTATAATCAGAGCGATCTGACGAGTCTCGGACTAGTTATAAGTGATGTGTAACTTATTTCGTATTTGCCT